ATATGCAACATTCGTGCGATATGAACACTAATATTCACGTATTATATGTTTACGTAATTATTGTGCCGTCGATTTAAATTTTTTATATTAACAATTTAAAATTATTACATTGTCAATTTAAAGTGATCCATATTGTCGATTTGAAGCACGGGATGACACAAGAAAGGACAAAAAATAAAAAATAAAGTCATGGAATGGTTGGAAGTTGGAACAACCCCACAATTTGGCTAAAGTTTTTTTTTTTTCGGGTGGATCTGCTTATCCTTGCAGAAGAGGATGTTGTTTCCCAATTGTTGTTGTTTCTGGGCGCTGCTTTGTTTGTTTGCCAAGGAAGAGGAAGGGAAAAAAATAAAAATAAAAATAAAAATTGTTCTTGAGAGAAAATTACTATTTCGTCCTATGTTCTCTTTTTAAAGTGTGTTACATATGATTTTTTTTTTTTTTTCTTTTTCTGTTGAAATTGTAAATCACTCCAATTTTTACTTATACCTTTTTCATATTAGAAGGAAAAATTTGCAATTATATTCTATTCATAAATTGATAATTCAAATATTTTCTTTGTTTAATTATTGAAGCATTTAAAAAAAAAAAAAATTAGTTATTGACTTTTTTGTGTCATTTTATGAACTTTAATTGAAGTATAAAAAAATAATTCAACAACAATAAATGATCTTTTTTGAATGGATTTTGTTAAGTAATTTTTTTAATTAATTTAAGTTTAAATTAAATTGATTATATTTGAAGTACAGAATGTAATATTCATTGATTAAAAAACTTAAAAAGTATATAAAAATAAATTTCAACGAAAAAAAATGGAACTGCTAAATAGAAAGCTTTAAAAATGAAAAAAATGAATTTTGCAAATAAGTATGATTACCAAATTTTACTTTTGATCTGGTAAATATATATATAAATATATATATATATGGAAGATTTAGGGATTCAAAACTTAAATGGATTTGAAAAATAGCTCAAATGTAGGACTAATTAGAAACATAAAATAGAATTTTAACAAAACTTATGTCTTACTTATATTGTGACCCAAAATGATTGTTGAGCAATAGTGAAAAGGATTACGTTCTTGTTTAAAAAAATAATAATAATAAATAAAAAATTAACGAAAAAAAAAAATCCTCAAATCGAAACTGAACCTTCTATTAACTAGAACACTATTATAAAATGTTATTAGAAATAAGTGTCTCTGGAAGTATGTCAGCTGAGTACCAATAACCACTTAAAGTTGGGACATATTCATTATAGATTCAATGTGTAAAGAAAAAAACTGAAAAAATAAAAATAATGCCAAAATTGTCCTTATTTAATTTACAAGCAAAGTTAAGCCTGCAACAAACTGAGCAACCGATTCATGCAACAAACCGAGCAACCGGCATATTCATATCCTCAATTCAAAATCATTACAATCATCTAAAAGTTTTAAACTACTCCAATTATTGATGTAGTAACATGTGCCATCCTAAGGGCATGCATTTTATGAGTAGAGATGATGGATACGCCGCTATGTTATTAGTGTACTTACTCAATGATAATAGGTTATTGTAAAAAAAAAAATTTCAACTACTTATAAAATTACTAATAACGAGATAATAAGTTGTGTTTTATTAATTTGGTACACTTATGACATGACGCGTGTGACGCATTCATATTATTACTTTGCATTTTTTTCTCTCCAAACCTACAAATTTTATGCCCACAGACGTATAGCGGCGCTGGCAGGATCCGGGAGGTAAGTTTTTGAGGTCTCGCGTGTGTTGTAAAGTTGATACACGTACTCTAAGAAAAAAAATAAAAAACCTACTTAATATAGGGTTGATTCGTTAATGGAATGAGAAAAAGGGAAGATAAAGGAAATATGTTAATGTGGTTGTCTAAAAATATTGTTTAAAAATACACAATAATTTTATACATTAGTGATGTGTATCTTAACATACTGCTGGATATAAAAATAAATTTATACATCTTGCAGTGTATATTTTATACAAAAGAGTATTTTAACATAATGCTGAAAATGCTCTAAGTCATAAGAGTAGAAAAATAGTATATGTGGGGTGGAATTTTTAGTAACGATTTGTTTTTAAAAGGTATTATATCCAAAAATATCCATAATATTACTTTTCCATTTTTATTTTTTTATTCCCAATATTTTTAACATTTTTCTTTTTTTTAAAAAAAAAAAAAAATATATATATATATATATAGAGAGAGAGAGAGAGTCCTGATCTCTTGCTCCCTATGGAGCAAGAAAATTAATCCACACTTTTAATATAGGCCGTTAGATTAAATCAATCTAACGGTCATTTTTCAAACCCACCTATAACCTTTCCTTTTAACATAAAACCATTCTCACCCTATTTTTAGTTTCTATATTTAATTTTACCATTACCACCTACTATAACAGTAAAAGGTAATCATCAAAATAAAAATAGAAACCTTTGAAAAAAAAAATAATTCCAGTATATTCTACTAATTTTTATTTATTTATTTATTTAGATGTTTTTTTAAAAGAAAAACAATACTCGTATCTTTCAATTTTACAACAACAGTATGATATTATAACATTTTATAAGTAACATCAATTTTGCAACAACAGTATAATATGATAGCATTTTCCTAAGAAACATAATTTTGCAACTATAATATACTTATTTAGTATAAGTAAATTTACCAACAAATATACTGTAATATTGTATTTTAGAATATCGAATTGATTAATTGGAATTGAAATTGAAAAAAATTTCATTTAAAGTTTGAACAAAAATTCTTTCTATTTCAATTTAAAGTTGGATAGTTGGTGAAATTTATTATTGAATCTGTGAATTTGTGAGTTTGATTATTGAATGATGATAATGTACTGACTATGGTGGGACTGTAGAATCCACCTCAGAAACAACAAGGTAACCCAAAAAAAATGGGTGAAACTCTTCTTACAACCTTATCCATAGAGAGAAATCATTTGTCACTTTTGTATATGGATTCAAATTAGCAATGCACGAACAAATGGAGAAAGAGTTGATAATTACCTTTTATTATTACAGTAAATGATAATAGTAAAATTACGTATAGAAACTAAAAATAGGGTGAGAGTGGTTTTCTATTACAAATAAAGGCTATAGATGGGTTTGAAAAATGAAATTTAATCTAACGATTTATATAAAAAGTGAAGATTAATTTTCAGAGCATGACACTCTCTCTCTCACTCTCTCTCTCTCTCTCTCTATATATATATATATATATATATATCAATTTTATATAGTTGTTCATCGTGACCTATCATCTTACAAAATTAAATATATCATTTAATAACCCATGAATAAGGACTTAATTATATTAATCTTAACTTTTGGGTTTCCATCATTATGCCTGTTATTTAATTATCCATAAATGAGTTATGACGTATGACTTTTGAGTTTCTTGATTAAGTACTCTATTTAATTATCCATGAAAATAGAGTATATAGATAGGGTGTGTCTATATAGAATATATATATTCACAAAAATATTCACATACACATAAATTGAGATGAGACGGAATTATAGTGAATGGAGTTACCAAGTCGAAGAGAATTTCCGATGAAACATTGACGAAGAATTTGGTAACAAATTTAGAATTCGACGAGGTTCTGACGAAGTTCGAAGAAGTTCTGGTGGCGGTTTTAACAATGGAGTTGTGCATTTCAATCAAATTTCTAGTAACAACATTATAAATTCCTAAAATTCTAATTTGATAATGGTTCCAACTTTTATACTCCCTACATACATATATATATATGTGTGTGTGTGTGTTTGAGTTTGGATATAATTTTTAAAATTATATTTTATTTTAAACAAATAAATGGACAGAAATAAATATATGGGTTTATAGAGGTGTCACTCTTTAAACATATAAATTATTGAATCTAGTTTAGTTAAAATGGTACCTGCCTATTGCACTTGAGAGACTTCAACCATTTTCAATAAGTAATTAGGCGCTCTAAGTCGAGATTTGAAATTATGTTTATTTTTTTAATTATGTTATTTTGAAATATTATTATTTATCACATATTTATATTTATTTTATTATCTTTTCTTACATTGAATATATTTTCATCTATATGATTTGGATCCAACAATTAAGAATTTAAATGTTGAAACAATCTGAATGCTTATATTGGAAGATCAAGAATCCAAGTCTCCCTAAGAGAAAAATGGGTGTATGGAGATAAAATATAAATAATACTTGTATAAGAATTAAAATTTTCCTCTGAGAGAGAGAGAGAGAGAGATATATATATATATATATATATAAAGAATGAGATGATATAAACACTTGTAAATGTTTAATAATTGTTTTTGTAACCTAGTGTGCGTATATATGACACACTTACACCTAAATTTTAACAAATTTAATTTGGATTTCAACACATTTATACCTATTTTTAAACTCCTTTAAAAGTCACATTTCACCGCACTTAAATCTACAACAATTTGAAATTGATACAAGTTAAAAATATTTAACAAATTTCAACGAATTTAATTTGAATTTCAATGCACTTGTACCAATGTGAATATTAAATGGATAGTGTTTGAGTTGACCTAGGCACATGCCCAGACTGAATTTTTTATATTTTTATTTTAGACCTAAATTTTTTTTAGAATTTATGAAGATACCCCCACTAAAATTACAATTCGCCCTACTAAATTATTATTTTTTTTTGCATTTTATACTTAAAATTTTTAAAAATTTATAAAAAAAAAAAAAAAAACTCTATTAAAATTACAAAAATAGACCAACTATATAAGTTTGCCATACAAATTAAAAGGCCCCCTCACAAAATTTTCTGAATCCGTCACTGGTTAACCTGTTTAATAAATTGGCAGACAAACACGAATTGTCACACTACAATGATGTTGAATTCCAGGTTAACATTGTTAGCAAAAATTTAACTTGAAAAGTCGTAGTAGATTTTAAAAATCCGCTAATAATTTATTTTAACATAAGTACAGTACTCCGTAATATTTTACGGATAAAAATAAAAATAAAAATAAAAAAACACACTGTAAGAACCCACGCAAGGATGGCCCACCGGCCCACTGACGTGTTTAAGTGAAGTAGCTTTACTAACTATGCGCCCATACGAGTCATGAGACTCATGACAGTCGCCGCACAACAGCATGATATATGACCGTTGCAGCAACGTTCCGAAATTCTAAATTTTAAAAACCTGTCCCAATAAGCATTCCTTTTTACCGTTACCCACACCCACCTCAAAACAAAACCCTTCTCTCCTCTTTCATCACCACCCAAATGAAAATCTCACGCAACACGAACCCTGAAAATCCATCTTCCTTCTGATATGATCACCCAAATCATATGATCCCTCTTCTTCTTCTTCTTCTTCTTCTTCTTTAAGTTCATAAGGTGTTCGCTCTTTGGTCACATCGAAGTTTAAATCAGATCTTGATTGAAAACTCGATTTTGAAACTCAATTTGGGGTTTAATTTTTTGTAATTGTCTTCATCATTCAAGTTCATGGCCACATTAGCTCCTGGAATTCTGTTGAAGCTTCTCAATGGGATGACTTCTGGGGTTAAGCCGACGAGTGAGCACCGGAGCTCACTTTTGCAGGTGACTGACATTGTCCCAGCGGATCTCGACGAGAAGAATCTCTGGCCAAACCATGGATTTTACATAAAGGTGTCCGATTCTTCGCACTCTATCTATGTGAGTCTACCCTTTGAACAAGATGATCTTGTTCTCAGCAATAAAATGCAGCTGGGACAGTTCATCTATGTCGACAAATTGGAGCCGGGATCGCCTGTTCCTGTGGCCAAAGGCGCGAAACCTATTCCGGGGAGACACCCTTTTGTGGGCACACCGGAACCAATTATGGGTTTAAGAGAGAAGGGGGAGAAAAGTGAGCAAAAGGGCAATTTGAAACAGTCAGCTCCTAGAAGAGGTTCTTGGGGGACAGGGCAGAATGGGACAGAGGCTATTTCTTCCCCATTGACTCTAAAGCCAGTTCCTTTAGATTTCGATCAGTGTACACCAATAAAAGATCGGTCTTGTTCAGCAAGAATTGGGTTTAATCTTCCAATGTCACCGATGATAAGAGGGCGAATGACGAAAGAGGGAAGCTCGGGTGGCGGCGGTGTTAGGTCTTCAGTGGGTGGTGGCCTTTTGTCCAAAATGGTGGACTCAAAGGGAGAGAGTCCCTCATTGGTGAGGAAAAGCTGTGCAACCCCTTTGATATCAAAATTCCCAAGGAGCAAGAGTGTCTGCGAGCGAGAGCCAAGGATCCCAAGAAGTCCCTTCAACTCAGCTGTAGGTACATTTTTCCTCTGTGCTAGTTAATCTAAGTGAAAATAACCATAAACCACCATTTTTTTTTTTTTTTCCTTCTCCTAGTTGAGACTGACACACTTGCTTTGTGCCAATGGGGAGTTGTGACACTAGGCTACAACCCTTGATTTAATTAATTATTTATTTATTTTGTTCAATTGGTTCGGTTATTCTCCAAAAGCCAATGTTTTTATGAAGAAATACAGTAGTTGATTTGGGCTTACAGTCAAGCCCTTGATTTATTTATTATTATTTTTTTCAATTGGTTCTGTTCTTCTCCAAAAAGCCAATGTTTCTATGAAGAAATGCAGTAGTTGATTTAGGCTACAACCCTTGATTTATTATTATTATTTTTCAATTGGTTCTGTTCTTCTCCAAAAGCCAATGTTTCTATGAAGAAATGCAGTTTTTGATTTAGGCTACAACCCTTGATTATTTATCTGTTATTATCATCTTTTTCAATTGGTTCTGTTCTTCTCCAAAAGCCAATGTTTCAATAAAGAAACGCAGTAGTTGATTTTCAATTTCTCAATGTAGGAAAAGAAAAGTTCTACTCCACCTCCAAGTTTGCGGAATGCAAGAGTGGTGGCTTCTCCCAAAATTGGTGGAGGTGGAGGTGGAGGTGGAGGTGCACAGAATTCATCGAATTCAAGGACAACTTTGCAACCACAGGCACAGTCTGGTGATTCAACCTCCAACAACAACAGTACCAGTGTACCCATGAATTTGCCAGGAAAGCTTAGCATTCTGGGAAAGGTAAATTATACTTTTCAAGCACTTCCTCTTTCGGTTTTAAGCACAAAGCTCATTGTTGTCTTGACTTCTCATGGCTTATTATTATTAGGAAGCTGTGCAGCAGAGAGAAGCAGCACAAAAGATTGCTCTTCAAGCACTAAGAGACGCTTCGGCCACCGAAACACTAGTTCGATCCCTCAAGTACAAAATCTATCATGCACTTTGCTTTCTAGATTTTTAGTTGCTGCAACACAGTTTATGGATTGTCTTCAAGTTTTATACTTTTTAACTTGTACAAAATTTTAATGACTGGCAGGATGTTTTCGAATTTGAGCAAATCAGCGAAAACAGATGCTCCAGCAACCTGTTTTGATCAGTTTCTGGAGTTCCATAACGAAATTATGCAGTCTTTAAATGAAATGGTGTCAATACAAGCGGCAACTGCAGCTAGTGAAATGGCTCAAACCACAAACACTGAAGTGAAAGAAAATGTTGGTAAACAGCCAGATGATACTCCAATCTTACATGAAATTGTGCACAATTCCATGGACCAGTACCGAACCTCAGACTCAAATTCATCCAAGAGAAGAAATGCACTTTACAAATCAATTGCAGCCTTTCCTGAAAGAAGTAATCAAAAGATTATTTTGGGGAAGAGTTCAACTTTTAATCAGAAGTCATATTTGGAGAGAAAAGGAGGGTCCACTCCACTCGGCAAACTCCTCCTTGAGCACACAATTGAGAATGATGAGAACAAGAAACCATCATCTTGCGGGCTAAGCAATACAATCAAATTGGGAAAGCAGATAGAAACCGAAGCCGGGAACTGGTTCATGGACTTTCTTGAGAAAGCTCTGGAAACAGGTCTAAAGAAATCGAAAGGTGCAGTGGAAGCAGATGCTCGAAAAGTTCCACAGTCCCTAATACTGAAGGTTATTAACTGGGTTGAAGTGGAACAATGTGATTCCAGTAAGAGGCCGGTGCATCCCAGAGCAGCACAGATGGCCAGAAAGTTAAGGATCAAGATGAAGAATCCTTGAATGGGTATCTAAGCAAAGTTCCATTTTATCAAATTTTGTTCGATATCTGTTGTGAAAATGTGTGCCATGTTGGTTTTTAAATTGTTTGGAGATTGAGCTACATTTGTTAGGTCTGATATGCTTGTACAACATTTAATCACATAACATTCTTCTTCTGGTTTAAGGCTATATCATGTAGTTTATGTCAGGGTATGGTAATTTTATCACATTGAATTCTCCTTCATTATTTTATGGTAGGCACATCGAATGTTCAACTCTCAGAACATTGACAGACAGAATACTCCAAATTTTTTCTTGAAAAGAAGAATCCAAAGCACATTTTTGTGTATATTGCTGGCACACGCCAAGAAAGATAGCACTTCTTTATTTTGTAGAACGAGAGTATGTGAAAGACCACACAATATGAAGACATGGAGTTAGTTAAAGAGCTTCTTAAGAAGACATGGAGTATGTTAAAGAGGTTATGAAGACATGGAGTTGGTCAAAGAGCTTATGAAGAGATGGAGCTTTGACTTGTCAGAAAATTTGCTTTATCATCTGTGTCTTTCAATTTGGCTTGATTCTGATGATCTTCTTTTATAAAATAGTGGATGGATGAGGTTGAAAAGTTTTCAACTCATCAACCTAGTTGAGTTAATTCAACTTGATCAGTTATCATGTCGGACTAATTCTTCGTTTACTCCTTTTCTGTCCCATACAATGTGATCTTTTCGAATGGTTGCAAAACTACAGCTTTGTATCGCGACTTGCATCACTAAGCCTTCCAGATGCTGCCTCCTCGGCTTGACTTCTGATAATTCGGTTTCTCAAGTTATAAGCGCCATTGAAATTCATGCTCCACTCTAAACATTGGCTGTCACTGCAATTCTCACCTTAAAGTCAGCCTTCTGTTGAGCAAGTATTTGGCATAGCATAGGTACCAATTAACTTCAAGTCTTTTGTTAATCAAACTTTCACAAATACATCACCACAGAGACATGTCCCATTTTAATTAACAAATTGATTGCACAACTGATTATGATATATAGTTTGTGGGCATGTCCTCCTTTTCATAGTTTAGCTTTAGCTTTCATTTCTTATCATTTTCTTTTCTAGTTTTCCCAACTTCCTTAAATCTCCTTCAATACCAAATCAATCATACATCTTGTCATACCTCATTGTCAAGTCATCCATGGGTGACAAACGATCGGGCTGGATCGAGTTTGAACTGGGTTAAATGTGGGTTACGATCCATATTCAACCCATTTGTAACTAGTCAATATGGATTGAGTCATCATAGCTCTTGCCATTCTTACAAGTTTCATCTTGGAATACCTTATTCTCAAGTAATCCATGATATTGACAAATCAAAGTACTTCTCAATGGCGTAGTTTGACTTTCTAGATTTCTTAATCTTAAAGCCCTCAAGTTGCTTCACAAGTCAATTTTCTCTAAATGATTTTCGTAAACGTGTAGGCAAGATCTGGAACCAGCTCTAATACTACCCAACTGATGTAGGATATATGTGTGGGGAAAATTCTCCTAATTGTGACACCATAATTGATGTCGATCAGCAATAACAAGGTTCTTGGGACTAATTTATTATTGGTTGTTGCTAAAAGTTTTGTAGATGTATTTTGGGTTTTTAGATTGGTAAATAGGTGACAGGGGTAAGAGTTTTGAGATTTTGGGTGTTGCTCTTTTGAAGTTGAATAATCAACATGATTGTAATTGTAAGAGAGCATCTATCATCCACACATGTACCACCGTACCGGGTAATTATTAGAAAATTCTCTGTCAGTGGCTCTAAAAATATTCAAACTCTCGACCTACAGAAGTAACTTGGTATATTTTAACAGTTTGATTATTGGGTGGAATAAGAAGTTGTAGAAATGGTCTTTTTCTTAATAGTTTAAGAAGAAAAAAAAAGAAAAAAAAGAAATTTTGATAGAATTGGTGTCAGCTTTCTTAAGATTTCAGTAAAACCCTAAGATTTATATATAGAAAAGCATAATTCATTTTGAAATGAAAATCTTGAATCCATGAGAATAAGCAAGCTTATAAAGATGCTTTATAAAAGGAAAAAATAAAGTAAGGTCAAAATTTCAAGAAAACCACAAGAATTACATATGAAAAAGCACAACTTATTTTGAAATGAAAAGCTTGAATCCATGAAAAGTTGGCTATAAAAATGTTATACAAGAAAAAAGGTCAAAAATGTGCGTTTGCCGGGAGTCGAACCCGGGTCTATTGCTTGGAAGGCAATTATCCTAACCGTTGGACTACAAACGCTGGTTGTTGGTTCATTTTCATTTTTAGTTTATATTTCTAGAAGTATGGTTTTCACTTTTGTTTTTTTTTTTTTTTTTTTTGCACTTTCTTAAACCCTAAAATTTGCGGAAAAAAATAAAATACTACCAACAGAAATGGAGATGAGTTGCTGTGTGTGGATGAGGCGAATCATGGTGGGAACGAACTCTCTGCTTCTTCTCTCAAAGAGGCCTCCAGTGACCATTTCCTTCTCTACTTCTACTATAATTCCATCCAGGTCCTTCCTTTCTTCCAGAAAATTACTCTCACTATCATTCTCTCTCAGCCTCGACTCTTCCCACCGTCGCTGGCTTTCAACCACCGCTCGTTCCTCACCACTGCCTCCCGTCTCAGCCGTAGATGATCTCAATTGCTCCCCTACAGGTAAGGCTTTACACGCACACATATATACATGAATTATGGTCTTCTGATATATACGGGTACTTCTTTGAATTATTTTGAATACCCACATGCAAAAAGGATGATTATGAATGATGGGTATAGGATTGTTGTAATTGTAATCAGTAACTTGATAGTTGTTCTTGGTAGGAGGTGGTGACAAGACTGGAGTACCAAAAAAGGGCTCAAAGGTGCTTCTGAAGGGAATGAGATATGCTGAATTTGAAGTACGTTTTTTTGGGTTACTTTATTTGCTCTTGAGCGTCTATTTTTGTGGCAATTATTGTTGATTATTGCAATGTTGGTAGGTTATGTTACTGAAACAAATGTTAGCATGGGGTATTTTGAACTGGAAAAAAATACCTTTTTTATTCCCTGAAAATAATGAACCATTTGAAAATCTATAACCCATGCTATTTTGGGGCTGTTTTTGAGAAAAAGCACGCTGAGCTCTTACCCATTGCATGATAAAAGTGTGAGGGCGCTGGTTCAACTCTGAGGGTAGTGATTTTCGCTAAATAATGTCAAATGGTAAATGGTAATGTCTGTTCGTGGATAGCACTCCATCTGGGTGGGATCAGCACCACGTAATGGTATTGTTTATGTTATTGGTGTTATTACATTTGTCATACGGTTAGAGGCCGAGCCAGGATTTTGTGGTTGGGGGAGCCAAACTTTGAAGCAACCATAAGACTAATTCAAGCAAAAAAAAAAAATTACTATTCGCGATATTCATACAAATATATATATCTAGCCAAATTTTTGTCAATTTATTAAAAAAAAAAAAAAAAAAAAAAAAACCTTGATTTTTTATTTTTTTTTATCAACCTTCCCTAACACAAATAAGATGCCAAAATTTAGTTTGAAGTAAACAATTAGACTTTAATTTATAAACAAATACGAATTTGATGTAATAATACAAATAAATAAACTAGCAAAAACTGAAATGCATAATGTGTAAATACATATTAAACTATCCATCTTTCATTATTTTCAATTATCAAATAATAGTACAATTGTATAAAGAGATTAATTCAAGCCAAATATGAGCAAGACTCCGTTTGAACCAGTTACCAGTCTCATATTTTGAGCTATATAAAAATAAGTATGAATTGTAACATTAAAAAGTAAATGTTGATTTTTTTTTAAAAATACATATATTATATGTATAAAAAAAATATGATTATATACTCCATGATTCCATCTATCCCAAAATAGAACAGTTCCCAAAGCAGACAATTATTTTGGGATAGATAGAGTAATTTATATGGTATTCGAGAATCTGACCTATTCATTACTCACTTTTGATCTCAACTCAAAAGTGTGAGAGATTTTTTTGATTTTGCAAGTTGGAACCGAATCTCTGAATCAATTAATAAAATTTGGGGTAAAGTATATATTGACAAAATGAGATTTTTGTTTAATTGATTGATAATATTATATACAAGTTAAATATATATATATATATATATTCCTAATCCACTAGTTTAGAAATAATGTACAGAAGAGTATTTGGAAAAAAAAGGGTTTTTAATATTGACAGAAGCTTCAAACGGAAAAGCAAAACAGTAGATAAAAGGAAAAAGAAAGGGAACTTACATATTCACATCCGTTTTGCCTTATTATAAAAATAAAGTTAAAATTCTTATTTAGGCATCAGTTTGAAACAACTAGTCTATCACTATCTGACAATCAGCATATACAACGCCGGGCTGGTAACACAGGCTTGTGACTCAAGTGAGGGCATGAAGGTGGTGGATGTGGTGTGATAGCCCAATAGTAGCGCATGTGTTACTTGTGGCCAAAGGCCTAAGTTCAAATCCCCACTCCATCAGTCAGTATTGGTAAATAATTATTTAATTAAATTATTTTTTATCTTCCAAAAAAAAAAAAAAAACCAGCATATACAACAACTATACAAAGCTTGAGTATATTATATATACACACACACACACACACACACACAATCTTATTATATTGCAAATGAATTTGAGCCTAAATTTGTTATACCACACACATGCAATGCCCATATGGTCTTGGAAAATGCCATTTTTATTTTTTTGATTGGTCAACGAGTATTATAAATTAAAGTTCCCACCCATCCTCTTGTGCTCGCAGTAGGTTTACAGAGGGATCTGAGAATACCATTTTCAGGAAACACGTTTTCTGGACTTGAGCAGAACCTAATGACCTTTCATTAGTGCCTGTTTTCCTTTTCTTTTAGTTTTTCATGTAAGTTGTGGAATTTTAAAAAAATAAAATAAAACAGAGTAGTCAATTCACAGATAGATTTGAAATTTTTTTTTTTGGTCAGATCAAACTTAAATTGATTGATTGCTATTAATTTTAGTCTGGAGAAAATTTTATCGCTCATTTATTTTGATTAAAGGTTTCTAATCCGTTGCTTCTGTTTCCAATTACTTGTGAATCTGCTCAACAGAATTGGGTTCTGTCAAGCGGTTACCGGCCTGCTCAGGCTTTAATGTTATGGAAGCGCCTTTATGGAAATAATAGTGATAATATTTGGGCACATTGCACTGATGAACTGGAAGGTTGTGTGTACTTTTACTCTCTCTCCCTCTGCATTCTGGCTCTGCCAGGAAAATTGTCTGTTCTATCTACTTGCTTATACTCAAATAGTCAAGACCAGGAAATACTCATTTCATTATCATCTATTATAGGTTTAAACAAAGATTTCAAGAAAATGTTGAGTGAACGTGCTGAATTCAGAGCATTGTCATTGAAAGATATTATCACAGCGTCTGATGGCACGAAGAAGGTACACATTATCTTTTCTTATTGTCTCTATGCTAGTCACTCTTAATCTTCTCATTGATTGTGACCTCGCAGGGGGTTGCAGATTTTGTTCACATTGGAAGATGGACTTGTAATAGAAACGGTTTTAATACCTTGTCCTAGGGGAAGGACTACTGTTTGCGTTTCAAGTCAAGTGGGATGTGCTTTGAATTGTCAGTTTTGCTTCACTGGCAGGCAAGCTTCTATCCCACTCATTTGACATTGGTAATACAATTATTTCAAGTTATGGCATAGATAAGCTACATTTTTATCTTGCACTAATCCATTTTGCAGAATGGGTTTAAGAAGAAATTTAACTGCAGCTGAGATAGTAGATCAGGCTGTATTTGCGCGGCGTCTCTTCTCAAGTGAAGTTGGCTCCATTACCAATGTTGTATTCATGGTAGGTATACAATTTAGAGAGTTCTTCAATTTTTCCCACTAGGATGGACAAAATCCAGATGCTTTAGTTCCAAGAACCTATGTAATTCTGTTGATTAGACTCAATTAAATAGCTTGGACTGCAGCATCGAATTATGTATGTTGCACATTGTTAGAAGATGTTATATTTGGAAAATATTATTATAGGAACCCTTAAATTACTCCTTGACAGAATATTTGATACGAGAATATCATAGGAGAGATTCTAGCCTATAATAGAATATGATTGGAGTGATTTATGGTATTGATTTTAGGAATCTTCCATTAATGTATTTTCCATATTTATCACCTCTATTCTTTCACCTATAAATAAAGGTGATCATTGTATGCAAAGATTAAGAGAGAATATATTATAAAGTGATGTAGCCCTTTGGGCTCTTTGTGCCGTGGATGTAGGCCCTAGTGGCTGAACCATGTAATATCCTTTTGTTCTTCGTGTTTCATTTCTCTCTTCGCTTCCGTTTTGTGCTTTACAACACACATCACACAGTGATCTTGCCTGCTTCTTATACAATTTATACTTGACCGACATATATATTTGCAATTTGTTGATGGGGTTTCGCTCTACAGTTATTTTTTTGGCTAATTTCCACATCTAATCGGCCTTTTAAGATAAGCTTTGATTTTACATGCCTGTATTTCTTGAAGTAGCAGCAAATCCGTTATGTATGTCTTGACTATGTTGCATTGACTTGGGTACATGTGTCAAGCGCGGTCCGAATCCAAGCATCAGACATGCGCCAAACAGGACACACAGAAACTGCAAAATATTCACATTATTGATTATTTTTAATTTATTTTCTATTGAAAAATAAATTATTTATGGAACATAGTGTTCAATATAGGCATTTTGCTCATTTTAAAACAATAATAAAACAAAATGAATTATTGGATTTTTTTTAGGTGCATATTCATGCCCATGTCCGATTATTGTGAGTCTTGATAAATGTTTACAATAACTTGTCTCTTCTCACTGCTTGAAATTTAATTGAGCATCGGATTACTTTTCAGCTTTTCCCTGTCTGATTAACACTTGGATTGATCTATTTTAAATTGGCATGGATGTATGGTGTCGGTATAATTGTCTGATTTATATAATCCAAAAACCCTAGGACATGGAGACCCAACTAAATATTTTTAATTTTGTATATGTTTCTTATTTTATAGGATAAACTATTATTCTTTTTTAGCGTAAGATAAGAGTGTTCAACATGTACTTGACTAGTTTTAAATTAACTGTGAAAGTGAAACATGATAAGGGAGACTACAGTTGATTTTTTGGATATCCAAGTATTGTATGTCAAAAACAAACTTCACTCTTTAAAGAAGTCCATGTGATGTACCTTTAGGTCCTTATTTCATAAGTCCCTGGGTTGCTTATACAACCCACTTTTATCTTCTTTTCAATGCTTACATTACAATATTTGTAATTGAGACTGCAGACCCTTGGTTCTAAGGTGGTATTTGGACCGCTCTATGCACACCCGATTGTAGTTGAATTCTGACCCCCCAACAACACACGCACTTTAGTGTGAGGGATATAATGAAATTCTTAATAATATTAGAAGTTCATGGAGGATTATAGCACCTGTGACAGTCATATGAAAAGCTTGCTTTTATGTTGGTTACTCTGTGGAGATCTTTTTATTTTATTTGATCTGTATATATATATATATAGTTATATTGGGGGTAGATTACATGCTAGATGTCGTATCCTTAGCTGATTTTGTAATCAAATTGAATGAAGATGACATCTTCATTTCTTCTGTTGTGATCTAATCATCATAAGAAAATGAACTTGTAGGGGATGGGAGAACCACTTCACAACATTGAAAATGTCATAAAAGCTGTAGACATATTGGTACATGAGCAAGGTCTGCATTTTAGTCCACGCAAAGTTACTGTTTCAACTAGTGGGCTTGTCCCCCAGATGAAACGTTTCCTCCATGAATCTAATTGTGCTTTGGCAGTTAGCTTAAATGCAACAACTGATGAGGTATTCTTCTTCCAGCTTTAAGTTCATTGGCTCTGAGAGAGGCAGAGGATTGACTGCCCATTCTGCAAAACATTGCAGGTCAGAAACTGGATCATGCCAATTAATCGGAAGTATAAATTAAGTTTGCTTCTTGACACACTTCGGGAGGAACTTCGCACCAGAAGTAACTACAAAGTTCTGTTTGAATATGTAATGCTAGCAGGAATTAATGACAGGTCAGATCCTTTCCCTTTGTACACTATCTGGGATGAATACTTGTCTAGGCTCCCTGCAGTTTTTCGTGCTTCTTCATACCATTAAAATTGCATAGTTATTATTGTTCATCATTGACTCAGATGATTTGAAAGTTCTGTATATTTCATCATCCATGACTTCCATCCGCTTGCTTGCAATAGTATTGGTTTTCCATTTAACTTTGGTGGGAATGTCCTTTAGTTGGTAACTGAAACATATCAGTGCTCTTTGGTTAGGATGATGTCCATCAATTTATTATTATTATTATTATTATTATGATTATTATTATTATTATTTTAAATCTCTACAGCATTGGAAAGAAAAAGAACTTGTGCATAAATGGTGCTAGAAGCACAGCCTCTTGAGGAAATGACATTTCCTTTTATTGTTCTATTGCAGCGCCAATATGATGGCTAGTTTAAAGTCCAATCAGAAGTCACACATTTGTTTGGGCATTTTCTAGCTATTGAATTATGCCTCTTCTAGTAACAAAAAATGTTGCCCTATTGCAACTCAATTAGTAAACTAAACTTCAATTTTGGCCATACCCTCTCATAGTTTATACTCTTATAATTGCCCTCATATATTTAGTTATTTACAACAATATATTTAATGCATTCAAATTAGGGGAAATATATAAAAATAGGTAATTCTTTTATTATGCTTGCCAATCCGAATCCGATAAGGAATATTTGTGATCAGATCGGATCCGATAATCTGATGGATTATCTATTATTGACTCCACTCCAGATTTGCTGTTTATCGATGTGCAATCTGATTATCTATTTTGCCTTATTGCAACTCAATTAGTAATATAAACTTCAATTTTGTTCATAACCTCTATTATTTTATACTCTTATAATTGTCCTCGTATCTCTAGTTATTTAAAATAATATAATTAATGCACTCAAATTAAGGGAAATGTATAACAATAGCTACTTCTTTTATTAGGCCTGTCAAGGAGTCAGATTCGGACCGAATCTAACTTGATCCAATCCGAATCCAATAGTCTGATGGATTATTTATTATTGAAGGCCTGTCAAATTTGCAGTTTATCAGATATTCCATTTGATAACCTGGTTTGTTAAAGTGTAATTTTGTTAAAAATTTAAATATAGATAGAAAAAGAGATAAGACCCAAAAAAAAAAAAAAAAAAATTAACAAAAAAAAAAAGGATAAGAAAAAGTAGGATTTTAATTATTTATTAAGGACAAATATTAAGATTGAAAAAAATAAAGAGAGAGAGAGAGAGAGAGAGAGAGAGAGAGAGAGAAGAAAAAATAAGGGAGATTTTGAGACCATTAGTATTAGTTGTGATAATATACATGATAAACCACTGTTTAAACAATATTTTGATTAATTTTGTCATCAAAGGCACGCCAATCGATTGATATATAAAGCGTATTATATATGTTAGAAGGATTTATATATTAAAGTTATACACTCTCTAACAGTTTAAACTAGTAGATGAAAGGTGCATATAGCGTGATGTTCCATTGATGCGGTGGTGTATAGGTCTTGCCAAGTTTGATTTCTTGCATAGCTCAGGGTGACCCGCCAGCCTATTTCGAGACGCAACTAAAACTCACTTTACAAGTTGACTGTTCTGAGCCTTCGATTTGGGTTGTTAACATGGTATTAGAACTGAAGAAGTCTTGTGTTCAAACCTTACCGTCACCCGGATAATTAAAATTAAAACACGTGTTGGACCAAAAGAAGGTGATACGTTTCAACGTGTCATGGTTACACCCTCTCTAATGGCTTAACAATATACTACTATTATTTGGTTGGATCAGATTGACCATAAAATGCACATCCGGTTAGTTACTTTAATGAATTATCTGATTCGAATAGTTATTCAATTGTTGAATTAAAATTCTATCCATATGTGAGAGTTATCGGATTGCTTTTGAATTGGATTCAGGCCAAGGTCCAAACCAATGACAGGTCTATTCTTTATGTTGAGATGAATATAACTTCATTTTTGAAGTTACGATTATAAAGGTACAACTATAATAGCCGAAGTTCTAACCGAAACAAAGGCCCGGAAAATTCACGACCTTCTAGTGCAAAACTGTGGGACTCATGTGTGTCCCACTGTGGTGCATCAGAGGGCCGTGAATATTTCGGCGCTCTATTTTGGTTAGGCATCTCCGCACTAATCATTTCCAAATTATTAAAGGTAGGAAACTATCCATAGAAATGTCACTAATTCAGATGAATGATTACTAATTTTGACTAGGCGGTCTACTAAACAAGATGTATTAATCAGTTTGATGTAAGTCTCCAATAAATTGCATAGTAATTGAAATTAAGCATTTTAAATTTCACATTAATTAGTATTTCTTTCTATTTGCAGCGTTGAGGATGCAAAGAGGCTCATTGATCTCATCCAGGGTATACCATGCAAGATCAACCTCATCTCATTCAACCCTCACTCTGGGTCCCAGTTTAAACCAACCAGGGAGGAGGAGATGATTGAATTTCGAAATTTTCTCGCTGCAGCAGGGTGTGTTGTTTTCCTGCGACTCAGTAGAGGGGATGATCAGATGGCTGCCTGCGGCCAGCTTGGCAAACCTGGTGAAATCCGGGCTCCTTTGCTCCGTGTTCCAGCTGAATTCCAAGCGGCATTAGGAGCTGCAATTTGACTGCCAATCATACAGGCAGATTACTTGTCAAAGTGGTTAGACATCTCATCCTTCCATCGGAGATGATACGAAGCATAATCATGAGAATTGAATGGCTGCAGGGATTATTTTTCCTCTGGGCTGTCAGGGTAGTGCATTATTCTTGGTTAAAATTTTCTTTTGTATTCGAATACACAGAAGTTTATTCAAATTCTTGGCCTATCCCATTATTTAGATATGTGGTATTGCTGTCTGTTGGAAATTTGGCAGCCATGATAGGAATGAAGCCAGACTATGGCCAACATGGGTAACATCATACCCACAAAAGGCCAATATTATGAGGTCGAATGATACTTATTTATTCCAAATTAGGAAATGAATATACTATAATTATGGTTTGAATGTTTTGTAGTTCAATTCCATAGCCTGAGTACTTTTAAGAGATCATGAAGGTTATGGTCACAATGTTGGTATGGGAGTGTAGAGAGGAGTCTTATTTGACCTATGACCTATCTTGTGGGGCTGTATTTGATGCTTTTGAGTTGTGACATTTGGTTAATTTGGTGCTATTATCTTCACAGGAGAAGCTTGGACAAGCAACGTGTGGCACATACTTCTTTTTCTGGCCTGGAGAATCTTGTTTAAGAAATTGGAAAGTTTGGAATTTGGACCCACCACTCATAAAAGCAGAGTCTTCTTTCCTCGTCTCTTTGAACGCCTGTGGTCATTGTTAATTTCTATCACATCATTGAATTACTCTTATTGACAGCACATCATCAATAATTTTGGGATAGGACATTTCGTCCTCTTTGGTTGCTTTTCCTTGGTTGTGCGCACTCTTATGGTCTATCTGGCTGGAAAAAGTAGAATTTGGAAGATGTTCAGGGGAGAACTGAGATAATTTGGAATTTGGAAGCATAGGCAGCCCCCAACTGCCTGTGCTGTTTGATAAAACTGGAAATTATAAGTATTGAAAATTTTAAGAGTTGAATTTCAAGTGTTGAAGATATTTTTTTAAAATTTTTAGCATTAACCATTCAGTGATAGTAATAATCGTTTAACTTAAAATTTTATTCATTTTAAACCGCGTTTATCGTTTTCAGTGATATTTAAATTGTATTATCAAGAGTACTTAATTGGATAATTGTTATTGAGAATTAAGTGCTGAATTGAGTAACATTCATTATATTCACAAATGGTACAAAAAAATCCGGCCAAGGTCTATAGCAAGCTTACAAAGTTTGTCTCTCCTTGCTGCATACCCCCAAACGGATATATATATATATATATATATATATATATATATATTGGCTCACAAAGATGCCGATACTGTTATAGGGGGCTTGTCTCACATCGGACGGGATCTATATGGACAAGTATGTATCACTAGTTTAAGTTTTTAGGTTAGAGGATAAAATATTGGGCAAGGAAAGAAGAATGAAAAAAAGGCATTTTCAGGAGAAAGAAATGTCTTTCCTCTCTTTGTTTTATAGTTGAACATAGAGAAGGAAACGGATCAAAAATTCTATCCGCTTCTAGCAATATGGGGCTTTGAATTTGCACAAACTTAATTTTGAATTTGAATCAACTTGCACCAAATCTACTTCAAAATTTCACCACAATTGTTTTAAACTTGCACCACCATTATTTCAAAATAGAAGTGTTGCTTTTAATTTTGAATTAAAAGTGGTGCAAATGTGAAGTACTGACTGGTGAAATTTTGAAGGAAAATTAGTTTAATCTTGAAATAAAGGTGGTGCAAACTTGAAATAAAAGTGATGACAAATCGAAATAAAGAAAAAGTTGTTAAGTGGTAAGTGATCCTAAAATGACGTATCGAGGTTGTGAAACGTTTTATATATGATGGCGTTCGATGTGCACAGTGAGTATTACAAGATTCATAATTGCATTATGTTTAACTTCTTTGTTCGTAGATAAAGCGGATGTGAAATTATCTTTCATTTCAAAGTATAACTTGTATTCATACGCTTGATAATTATTCGGACTTCGCTCTTAAAAATATAGCCATCCTTGTCCCCTCGCATCAATCCCATGCCCAGAAATATAGGCTTTGACCTGGTATAAACTTTATATCTTAAAAAAAGGGAGGGAGGGGTCCGGGCAAGGACAAAAGATGTGATGTTTGTGAGTTAATAATTGGGAACAATAATCATCATTTTTTTTGTCTCTCTATTTATTTTCAATAAATTTTTCATGAAAAAATTTTACTTTAAATACATATACACACACACACACACACATATATATATATATATATATTATGATGAATTCCTTGTTTGTCAAAGAAAAAATGGCTGCTTTGAGTAGGACACAAAAAAATGCTCTTCCAAATGCCTATTGGTTACTTTAATTAAGTAAAAATAAATAAATAAAATAAAGTTAACGTTTCATTTCAATCTCCTTTAAGATAGTTCCGGAATAGTATTTCCCCACTTAAAACACCAAATATACGTAGACACATAGACATATATATACATATATATATATATATATATATATATAATTGCATACATAGAGAAAACAAAGATGTGAAATTAATGAAGAAATCATTCAATCAAACTCAACGTCCCTTTGATAATTTGAAAGAAAGAAGGAACAAGATCATAGAAGTGAGGATGCTTAGAACTGTTACTCGAAGCAATCCCTAGCACCCAAATGGCTCTCAACTAAAACACTAGGCAATTTTAGGAATACAAGAGCTATATTACATGAGGGGTGTTGAGAGTAATTTACTTTATTTAATTTTTTTTTTTTAAATGTTAATTATAATGCACATTTTTGTAAATGTACAACGAAGTTGTTCGGAAATGTGCCGAAAGTATAGTAGGGAGTAATATGTACGTTTTTTATAATTGTGGTATTGATTTGTTCGATTTTAAAGTTTAAAGGAGTAAAATACTAATTTTTGATAAATGAGAAGGGTTTTATGCTTCTTCTTTTTTTATTTTTTTATTTTTTTATTTTTTTATGGTTAATATAGTAGTAACATTTATGAAGAATTATATTGTAATTTAAAATTTTTATTACAGCAGCACTTGTCTTCCCTAGACAGGAAAGATGATTTTTATTGTTATTATTATTATTTTAATGTACAAGCTTTATATATAATTAATAATAATAGCATATGTTGGAGTTGCTTTTTGCATATTATTCATCCTGTAAAGGCAACATGGATAACTACTGAACCTCTCACTTCAATAGTATGAAAGAGAAAGTGCTATTGGTTTCGAGCTAGCTGGCACACTTGACACTCCACAAACGTGGGAGATGGTGTGTGTGTGTGTGTGTGTGTGTGTGTGTGTGATTTTTGAGTGTCCTTGCCATTATGCTTAAAGAGGAAGGAACAAGGCACACATCTTTTTCACCTTTATTCTTCATTCTTTTGATGACGAGTCTGTAGAATAGTAGCATACCTGACATAAAAATTATTACATAACTTTACTTTCTAAACTATGTTAAAGTAGTTCTCAGTATAAAAATTAGAAATAAAATAAATTTATAAAAAAATCATTCTAAATTGATGCGCATATATATATATATATATAAATAAAAAATTATATTTCTGTTTAACCATGTTCATACTCTATATATATCTTTTTCTTTTTTCTTTTTTCCTTTTTCTTTTTCTTTTTTAACAAATCTAACACATTCTTGTTTTATCAATGCATCGTGTCTATACTATTTAACAAGTCATTGGATGCTGTGACTTCGATTTGCCCATTAAGTGAAAATTAACGGAGTGATGAGAATATCAGGGAATCGAATCTTTTATTTTATTTTTTAATTATTATTTTTTTCTTTTTTGGGATGATGATGATAATGGCGTAAACCTAGTCCCCTAAACTACTTTATGATAAATTAACCCCCTAGGGATGTCAATCTAACAAGTCCCATCCCATTCATATTGGGACGATTTTAGAATTACTAATAATATTATTATAAGCGAATTGGGAAAGAGAGCTATAAACTCACAAAGCCTGATTAATAAATATATAAATAAGTATTATTTTATTAGTTTTAGATTTTATTTTTTTCATAATTTTAAATTTTAAACGTTTTTTATATTATAATAGTTAAATATTTGACTATACTTATATTTTTTTACAAAAAATTATTTTAAATTTGATTTTTTTTATAGAAAAACTATGAATAGCGGTCCTAAACCTAATTTAACTTCGGCGTGTTGAGAATTGTGCGCAGCAGAATGATTGTGGAATATAATATGGATAAATAACCTAGACGATGATGAATAGATTTAACTTAATCTTTTATTCAATTTTTACTTATTTTAATTTTACTGAAATAAAACTAAAATCAAATCACAAAGCAAAAATAAAGTGCAACTAAATAAAGTTTGAGAGATGACCCAAGAATTTTAGCGAGAAAATCCCAATTGGTAGAATAGACCAATTGTAATAAAAAAACCTCGTTGGACTTTGCAGTCTTGAGATAAACGATCCACTATATTTGAAGCAAAGTATACTAAACTTTGACTCAGTCTCACACCCTATCGTTCTACCAAAAACCAATCGCTGACAATCCATGCCTTTGCGACTCCCCCGTCCAACAGTTCTCAACCTCAGGCTTACTATTGATCTCTATAGAAGAGTTGTAGGTAGATCAAACAACACTCCACGAATACTTTGACCCCTTCAAAGTGTGATCGTTTTACCCATTTTCTTCAATATTTGAATTTGACGAAAAACGAATGAATTCTGCTTTTCAGAATACCTGAATCTTCAATTATGCTTCAATTCCGATGAGGTAGAGAACAACACTACTAAATCACACTTGTGTTTATGTGTGTGCTCTCAAAAATAAAATTAGAAAAATCAGATTGATTTTCTGAATAAAAATATTTCAATTTTGTATGCAAAAGCCATGTATAAAAATATCTTTCTAAAGGCTTTCTCAAAATATAGAATTATGTTCCTTAAATGCATGAATAAACCTAGATGACTATCAGGATTTATATAGAGTTTAGAATGTCCTAATCCCTCTGAAAATATAGAAAATTTCGTGCATAGACTTTATTGAGATATATGGGATTCCCCCTCCGAGAACCGTATATGAGAATTTCGCCTCGTACAGCTCAAGCAGAAAGGACTTGGAAGGAAGTTTGGTCCAAAAAGGAATTGAAACAGATAAGGAAACGGAAGTTTTATACTGACTAGGACTTCTTGAACCGGTACGTCCATTTAGCTATTGGTCCAAAAGGTTAGAATGTTTTTTGACGCACTTTGGTTACTGTTTCTGCCTTTGGCTACCGTTACCAAGAAGTTCTAGTGGTTTCCAATGGATGGAAGTGAATCTGCTATTTGGCTATGTACCAGATTTTGGCTACCAGTACCCAAAGGATAGAAGAAAATTTCTTACCAGTACTAGATTTTGGCTACCAGTACCAAAAGGACAGAATGTTAATTTCCTTAACACTTCAAACTTCTAAAACTTTTTTAAGTGTTCTCACTCTCTCACATACCTTTCTAAAGCATTGTTCTCATAATCTCCCCAAAATACCCCCAGGGGAAGTCGAATCCCCGCTGCCTCCTTGAAAGAGAGATGTCCTGAACCACTAAACGATAGGGGCATACTTGCCCAACCTCCAAGTGTGATTTCTATGTTATGTATGGCCGTGCCTAAGGGCATAACGGTTGAAGTAGATTCTTCTTTTTGATCAATCAAAAACCCTTCCTAAACTGTACAAGCTTCTTCCAAGTGCAATTCAGAAAAATATATATATATATATATATATATATATAGTTTGGAAAAAGGATGCCCTGTCCCAAACCCATGCTGACAACCTAAGTCACAAATTTTCTAAATGGGTGCAGCTCTCACTCCCACTCTACACTGTATAATTTAAATTTTGTCATTTGTATGCTCTCGCTCCGTACCATGTAACTAAAAGCTGTAGTTCGATTTTACGAAAAAAGGCTTCTCTGTACCTCTAATGCTTTGTCATACGTGGCATCAACCAACTATATCTGCATCTTTAATTATCAGTACCAATTAATGGGAAAACGCTAGACGTTTTACGAAACTGGGCCCAAATAGTTACGAGAAAACGCTGGACGTTTTACTAAACAGGACCCAAATAGTAATCGGAAAACTCTAGACGGCTTCCCCACGCGCACATCCTGTGCGTGCACAATTAAGGCATCTTTTTGGCGGCATCACTTCTCCACAACTCCAAGCTTCCTCTGCATAACTACCCGTTTCTTTCCCACACTACTCATCCTCTCTCTCCCTCTCTCTCTCTCTCTCTCTCTAAAATCTATACATATTCAACCAGTGCCGAACCCTAACTCTCTCTCCCTCTTTCTCTTTCTTCCGCCGTTCCGCGTCTATTTGTTTCTGTGAGCAAGAATGGGAGCTTCTTGCAACGAAGAGCTTTCGAGCTACAGTTCTATGAAATCGACGGACGATAGGCAATTCTCGAAGCAAGTTTACGATAACGTCCACGGAAACATTTATCTCGATCCTGTATGACCTTCAATCTCATAATTCTTTTCGCATTTTGATTTTTTTTTTTTTTTTGAATTCAATCTCATTTTTCTTGTATTTCGATTCACAATTCAGAGAAATGCGTACAATTATTTAGTGATTATCATATTTACTTGTTTTCTGGACCATAAATTATTCGTAGAGTTCGTTGAGTCCTTTTCATTCCAATCAATTGCAATTGAATTTCATTCAGAACTGAAGAATCGCATAAATCTGTAAAAATACATATATATGTGTTCGTCTATATATGTATAAAGAAATTTAAGTGAATTGAGAAAATTCAAACAGAGGTTTAGAACAGAGTAAAGAATTTTGATGAATTGTTTTATGATGAATACAATTTGAGGAATATAATCATAGCTTGTAAAAGTACAAAAGAGGTCTTGATGTATCATATGTCCTCTACAATGCTTGTTTCAGCTTTTGTGGTTTAATTTGTTTATTTATTACCTTTTTCTTTCCTTTTAGTTGTTTTATTTATTATTATTTAAACTGAATCTCTATAAGATATATATATATATATATATATATATATATATATATATATGCGTGTGCGTGTGTGTGTATATTTATATATATAAAGAAATTTAGTGATACGAGAAAAGTCAAACAAGCGATTTAGAACAGAGTAAAGAATTTGAATGAATTGTTTTATGAGGAGTATATTCTTAGCTTGTAAAAAGTACAAAGTAGGTCTTGATTTGTCCTCTACAATGCTTATGTCAGCTTTTGTGATTTATTTATTTTTTCTTCCTTTTAGTTTCTTTATTGTTTAAACTGAATTTCCTACTTTACTCAGTTATTTATTCAATAGATATAGGTGACTTTGTAATTTTGTATCATCAATAGTTATTTCTTTCTCTAATGACTATTAGGCATGAAAAGGATGATCGATTTCCTTCAGCTAGTTTTAGGATATGTAAAATTACATAAGAGCTACAGTTCTTAACTTGTACTGAAATCTCTAGTTTATATAGTTATTGATTGATGCTTTCAGACAACATAGTTAATTAAAAGAAATCTAATTACTTTTTGCTGAATTGCAGCTCTCTTTGAAGTTTATTGATACTGAACAATTTCAGAGGCAAGTTTGATTTGGTTCAACATTTCTTATTATTATTATTATTATTTTCATATTTAGTTTTCATTGCAACTATTTTTTTATTATATTCTTGTGACAATTTTCCAACATATTGCAGACTTCGCGATCTTAAGCAACTTGGTAAGTCTTGATCTTGTCTGAACTCTGAAGTTCATTATTAGCTAATTTTGGTTGGATTTGGTTTAGGATTTTACTTCACTTTTATCTTCTGGAAATTTGCAGTGCATTTATATCGTCTTTTTCAACATTGTTATGGTAGAAATTAAGTGCCTTAATAATATAGGCATTTTAATTACAATAGCTATTTCAAAATCCATTTGTCAATAACAACTGATTAAAAGAAAAATATTCTAGATTCTGAAAAAATCTGATCAACATGATCTACAATATCTATCTTATAAAAAAACTAAATTGACAGCACTCGAGAGATATAAACATTCATAAATCAGAGTAAAAGTATTCGACAGAACCACAAAATGTTTATACTTATTCATCTCAGGGTATACATATAGATTTGTCTTCAAGCCCATAGATCAATATCATTTTTACCTCAGTCCACTCAAGAATTTGAATACTGATGGAATCAAACTAAAACATGTTGAAAGGTTGTGCCATATATTCTACTAGTTCTATCCATATTAAGACACACACTCTCACACACACAAAATAAATACAACAAACAAACACTCTCTCTCACACACAAAAAATAAATAAAAAATTAAAATTTCTAATCTAGGTCCTTGTTATAGGGTTACCAAGGTTTGGAAGGTATGCATTTGATTAGCAGTCTAAACTTCGCAACCAAAATGTTTTAATTTTTAAATTATTTTGAATGTTGTTAGTTGTCTCTATTTCCTTTACAAATTTAGTGATGGCCAGGGTACAGAATGATCATCTCCTCTGCATTGCTAGAGAATTACTTAATAAATTTTTGTTTGGTATTGCATCTAGCACATTAAAAAAATTAGCATGGCTAGTTTTGTTGATCACTATCTCCATGATGAAAGTAGTGGTTTGGAGATTTTCATGCATTAACAGAACTATGGTGGAAGTTGTTAGTTTTCTAGGTTGAGGTTGGTGGCAGGGTATCCTCTATTACCTATGTAAATTCGGTGAAGGCCAGAGTACAGAATGATCATCTCCCCTGCATGACTGGAGAATTGCTTTACCTCGTCTATTACAATCTTGATCAGCTTTACCTCGTCTGTTACATTTATAATACAAGTGTCTAACATGGCAAGAATAGTCGTTGGAGGGCCAATATTTCATGCATAAACAGCAATATGATGGATTCTTTTTCATCATCAAAATATTGAGTACGACATAGTGAAAGCTACTTATTATAGCTATTTAAGATGTTTCTACACTTTATTCATGGTCAATGTTCCAGATAGTTTACGCTGCCCAACACACTATTATTTGTCCAATTGTTTCTATACTAGTATTGTTTTCCAAATACAGTATTTGTTTGCTTAAATTCATTTCTGAGTCCATTTTTTCTTGAGCCTCAGGTCTAACATACATGGTTTATCCGGGAGCTGTGCATTCTCGATTTGAGCATTCACTTGGGGTTTATTGGCTGGCTAATGAAGCTATTCTTAAATTCAAAACCCACCAAGTAGGAAAATGTCTTGATCTGATTCAGAAAAAATAATAATAATAATAATAAAATTGTCTTGGTCTCATCAATGTCTTTTGGATCCTATCATTGAGAATATTCCCTTCATATACATGCATCCTTGTAGGGCTTGGAGCTTGGCATTGATCGTTTTGACATACAGACAGTAAAACTTGCTGGTGAGTAAATGTGCTTGTCATATATTACTCTGTATTGTACAGGATAAAGGCAAGGATTATATGATGATGATATTTTACTTTTTATTGAGCCATATATCTGATAGTAATTTTTTTTATATTCTATATCTAGGACTATTGCATGATGTGGGCCATGGACCATTCAGCCACTTGTTTGAGCGTGAATTTCTTCCCCGGGTTCTTAATGGATTTGAATGGTGATTCTTACATCCTTCAATTTATTATATTGTTACCACTAAGGGCTGTAGCCTAGTGGTATCTCCTCTATCTTCGAAAGTAAAAAGTCGAGGGTTCGAGTCCCATTAGGGACAAAAAGTGGGTGCTTAAGTTACTTGCCAATTTAATACATTTGTGTGTGTAGTAAATATGTTACAACCACCTTCAGAAAGTAATTACATGAAAATTGAATAGAGAAGAATATGGCTTTTTTGCATTTACTATATCCTTAGGCTTGCACTCTATAACTGCCGGAGCTATTGCTTTTAATACGTGATCAAGGTTTGGGCCCTTTTTGGGAATTGTTATTATTGAAACAATGATAGATTTTATATCACTAGTTAAACATTTGATTACTACTACACTTAAATCATCGATTTTACAATGATTTTGGGTTTTATGGTAGTCATAGCAACTATTTCTTTTTATGGTAGTCATAGCAACTAAGGTCATATATATCATCAATAATACTGCGTTCATGAAACCTGTAAGCATGTTTCTCACCGCATATAAATCTTTCCCTGTTTGCTTGGGTTCTACTTCGGTCGTCATTTTGCAGGAGCTGAATTTCGTACCTTCTTTAGTGCAATTTAAGTATTTCTGATTGCATGTAAGTGAGTAGCGCAATCTAAAATCGCAGATGGATTAGGAGATACCAAGCAGACCTAGAGGGGAGTGAATAGGTCTCCTTTGTTCTTTTTATTTTGAATTTTAACTTTTGTTAAATTAGTTATTCATTCACAATATACTAGGCAATCAATCATGCAATGATTAAACAAATAAAGTAGAGAGTTCGGGAAAAAGAGACAATCAGATTTTCTGTGGAGAAGGTAAGCAAGAAAGAGGCTGACCAAAACTCACATGGGATGAAGTAATTAAACACGACTTGAAAAATCTAAATTTAAGCGAGGAAATGGTGTATAATAGGTATTGAAGATTTGGTATTACTAGAGGAATCAGTGGAGAAAAATCTTCCTTGTTTCCTATTTTCTATTTCTTTCCATTCTCATAATTTTTTCTCCTATATAAAGGAGCCTCCACCATTGTAATGTGTATGAGTTGAGAGATTATAATAAAAGTGATATAGCCCTTTGGGCTCTTTGTGCCATGGATGTAGGCCCTAGTGGCTGAACCACGTAATCTTTGTATTTTTCTCATTTAATTTCTCATCGCATATGTTTTATGCTTTACAACAATAGGAAAGAAAGGAAAAAGAGAATTTATGTGGCGGACCTCATCTCTATGGGATGAAGGCAAGGATGATGATGATGATATTTTTTGTGGAAAACCCAAACAGAGAAAAATTACAGAACTCATCCAACGTGAATACTGACCAGACTCATACCGGGCCACGAGATTGCCAATGCCTCGAATTCCTGGCTGATTATATCGAATTTCTATGCATCTCGGTCTTACATCCACTCTCGTGAGATCAGTTGTTGTCTTTCACATGATCATTTGATCTGTCTTCCTCACTAGCAACTGACCGAAGCAATCTCCATAAAATGGTAGTGAAGTGATTATGTTTCTCTGTATCATTCTCTAGTTAATCATGTTGAGAACGGTATCTTGAATGACCAAGGAATCAACACACAAAGCTAACTCTCAAGTGTGAGTGTGTGTAGTGAAAGAAAACAACAGCTTGCCAGAAAACCAAGAGCAAGCTAATAATTATGATGAAGAGAAGTGAGAGTTTTAGAGAGATTTAAAAAACTCTGTAAGTTTGTCTATGTATAGTTTAGAAGCCCTGGTCAAGTCTCAAAAGCTTAGAATTTGATCTGGAAACATGGTATGAATTTAACACTATAAAACGCGTTGAAAACAATTTTTTTCACAGAATCATCTGAACTCTAAATGCACCCTTAGCTTGTCCTAAGTGTCTGATCATCCGATCGTTCACCACATTTAATTTTATTTAAGAATGCAACATGAATGCTTCTTCAAATCAAACATTTTCAGGATTACCAACTTAAATTTTGGGAATGAAATTTACAACTCAATTGGATCTTTGACACCTAAAATGCCTACACATGACTCCAAGTCCTAAATGACAATGAGGATATTAGTTTCCAGTGTTTGTGCCATTATTTACAGCTCTGTAGCTTGCAATGCTTAGTATGATAAATAAATTTTGATTTATGCCACAAGCATGTTATATTTACGACACACAAATAAATGTGCTCCTCTGATACTGATGGTGATGGAATGACCACTGGAGGTTTTGGCCAGCATCATTTTTGCCAGTAGAAAGTTGAACATGATGTTGAAAAAAAAATCTACAGTGAGAGGGAAAGGTAATTGTTAGTATTGTAGTTGTTTAATGGATACTTTAAAATTATATCTTTCATCCATTTATTTTATTTTGACTTGACCTAAAGTTTATTAGTTTCTATGTTGAGGAAATTGATTTTGTTCTTGACAGTCATGAGTTTTCTTTGTTTGCTTTCATTAGGGGGGAGGGGGGTTGGCGGTGGAAGAACTGTTTGCTTTCATAAGTGAAAAGCATGATTTATTTATATATAAAGAACTTACTCTTCTATACCACAGCAGTATCTTACCTATTACTTAAATTGTTTCGTGTGAAACCATATAAAGAACTACAGCTACAATAAATCAGTTATGGTGTTCAATTCTTATGTAGACATGCAATGCCCCAGCCCCACTGATCTACATATAAGATTATGCATCTTTTCTGGTCTGTCTTAAACATCATTACACATATATAAGAAGCTAACTTTGCATTTTTTATTTTTCGGGTTGTGGTGGTGGAGACATAATCCTGTGGGATATTGGTTTGGCCCTTTCTGTTACTTGGATTGAAAATTTGCTTAAGGAAATTGCTTTAATCTATACTTTTGGTTGTTAATTCTAGTAAACATCTTGCAGGTCCCATGAGGAAATGTCTATCAAGATGATAGACCACATTGTTGACGAGCACAATATTGAAATTGATCCTGGAAGTCTCAAGAAAGTGCAGGTTCAATTGTTACTGATATACTCTCAGCCTTTTAATATATATATATATATATATTTATATTTATATTTTCCCTTTAGTAGTCAACTGTGTGGAGTCATCCTCCTAAGATCGTCCCAACATATGACTGAAAGATGCCAAATTGATAATTCTCTGCCACTTAAAGGGATTGAATGTTCAGGAGCATATTTCTCCTGGAGCTCCTCTTCTCACTCTGATGTGGATTTACGTTCCTTCTGTGAAGAATGAAACATTGCATGCTTTCAAATATAAAACACCAGTGACATAATTCTACGTAGCTTTTAGAATCTTTTTATTTTTTTATTTTTTTTATTTTATGTAAGTAGTACCATAAGACAAAACAATTAGAGAACCTTTTTCTTATTTTTTTGTTTGTGTTGTTCTCTTTTTCGTTTTTTTTTTTCATGCTCTTATAGCTGTCTATTTTCTTTACAGGAAATGGTAGTTGCTAGCACTGAGAATGCTTCATCAAAAGTAAGTTGTGGAAGCTGAAGGATTTCTCGGTGTTATTACTTTAAATAATGCCAATTTGTCACATTTTTAGTCAAATATCTTCCCGTGTAGCACTCGCAAGAGAAGAAATTCTTATACGATATTGTTGCAAATGGTCGAAATGGAATAGATGTTGACAAGTATGTCATTTTCGATCCTTTTGGAATGATTTTGATTTTGATATATAATTGCGAATTTTTGACACTAAAAGAGTTGAAAATAATTTGTTGGCAGATTTGATTACATTGGTCGTGACTCGAGGGCTTGTGGTCTAGGCTGCAATTTTGAGTATACAAGGTATGTATAAAAATCTTTTAGAGAGCTTGATTTGTTGGTGAACATATCTGCTTCTACTTTCTTCAGTTGTAGTTGATCAAAATCCAATTGATGCTTATGAATGATTGAATGCGCTGAAGTTTATAGTTTGATTTCATTTATCGTTCATGTTCATATTTTTAGCACTTGAACCAGCACATCTAACATTATTTTAACTGCAGGTTATTGGAAACAATGCGAGTTATAGATGATGAAATATGTTATCGTGCTAAGGAGTGTATGTATTGGTCAAAGAGTTTGTTATACCCAATTATGTCAATAGTTATTGTAATTTTTTCAGTTTCTGTTTGATAATTTGGTCAGATCTAACAATCCACAACTTATTCTCCTCTCGTGCCTATCTGCATCGAACTGTCTATGGGCATGCAAAAGTAAAGGTGCCAAATTATACCTACACCTTCTTATATGGGAAATGAAAATTGGAGTATACAGCTTACAGTTAAAATGTTTGGTCGGCATGAGAATACAAAATGAAATTAATCTAAATATTTTCTTTTTTGTTTTTTTTTTTTCAGGCAATAGAACTCATGCTTGTCGATGCCCTAGTAAAAGCGAATGATTTTCTTCAAATTGCATCCTACATTCATGAGCCAGCTCGATACTGGAAGGTTGTATGAGCTATTAGATTAGTCTCAAAACTTGATATTCTTTGAGTTGTATTTCTTAAGCCCTTATGATATCCATCTACTGGAAAATGCAGTTAGATGACTCCATAATTAAAAACATTGAAACCTCTTCCGAACAAGAGCTTAAGGAGTCCAGAGATCTGATCCAACGCGTTCGGAGAAGAGATCTATACCAGGTATTTTAATAGAAAGGGCACGGATTACAATGTCTGGCATTGTTCGTGTAAATTCAGAGACATATTCATATGTGCATATTCTTAAATAGTTATGCACTGTAGATGCAACACACTTAAATAGCAATTGTCTTTGTTTTCACAGTTCTGCAACGAGTTTGCTGTCCCAAAAGAGAAACTAGAGCACTTCAAAAAGGTCACTTCACAGGATATCATCTGTTCCCAGGTACTTCAGCCTTTATTGGATTAGTGTGTGCTTTGCCTAGATATATAAATCGTTTTTACTAAATTTCGAGAATAATAAGAAGAAAAGGGCACAGAATCTCTTATAATGTAAATTCCATCCAGAGCTCTGGTGGTGTAACGCTAAAAGAAGAAGATGTCGCTGTGAGCAATGTCAAAATTGATTTGACACGCGGAAGGAATAACCCACTCAAAAGGTACTTGAAGTTGAGGAAGAGTTGGTACTATTTATGATGCACAGTTATTTTTCTCAAAGCCTTCGATGGATTTAGAATTATTCTCATTTAATAACCCCGTCTTCTGTATGCATGTATTTCCTCATCCAGCATCAACTTTTTCGAGGTATTGCACTCTAATTAACAGTTTAAATCCTTATTTATTTATCCTTGTGAAAATGTTATTTCTAAATGAGGGATAGAATAGCTGATCTTATAGTAGTGCAAAATGCTCTGATGCTGTCGTAGTTGATAACTTCAGCATATATTTAATCATCGAATATCGATGTTGCTTCTGTTTACGAAAGTTATGACTGACATCTTATTACTGTGGAAATTTTGTGATGCTGTACCCATTATCCCGGATGAAATAGCGATTGAAAATACAAGCCATAGTATCAACCTCCATTTGATATGGACCAAGAACAAATCTTTCTTAACAAAGATTCGAAAATTCCTAAGAATCCTAACCATAGCCCACCTGATACACTGGTCAAATTCGTAATTTTAACCAGTTTAGAAGCTAGACAGATTATGGCAGATTGACCCTTAAAGGTTCGTTTCTTGGCACAGTTTTGACATGAGCAATTTCTATTTTACCAGGATTATGAGAGCAACGAAAAATTCCCGATACAGGATGATCGTGTCAGTCACTTACTGCCTGCATATTATCAAGATATGATAGTCAGGGTGTACTCGAAAAAGCCTGAACTGGTCTGTAAACGAGTTAAATTTTAATCTGTTTCAATCATGAATTCGTGTTTGCAATCTCTATTCCCTTGAATAACCTAATGGCAATATCATACAGGTGGAAGCAGTTTCTGAGGCCTTAGAGAATTTTCAAACGAGGACATATGGGAAGAAAACTCAAGTGCATGGAACTCCTAAGAAGAAGATACGCCGAAGGTAACTGCTAGAATTGTTTGTCTTGCCTCATCTGAGTTTGAGCAGGAACATGTACATATTCCATATGTCCACTGGTTTTCGGTTTTCAGTTTTCAGTTTGAAGATCGTACCAAATAATGGCACTGGCAGATGTATAAAGTTTAGAAATCTTTCCCGGCACCCCCAAGCCTCGGGTAGTCAACCTTCATTTCTGCTGCAATTTCTCACATACCGACTGTTGTAAGTACTGAATATAGTACGTTGTAAATTCATGAAACTGGTTCGCCTCGGGGGACTACTTTGAAGTTCCCGGACGTAGTGAAATGCTAGATATAGTGGAAATATAGTGTTCTTAAAAAACCAGCAGCTATTGTAACAAGTACTTGGAATTCATATCGTTCTCTCTAGCTTGACTAGTTTCTGATAATAACTCTGTTAGCATTGACACATTGTCAAACTATTGCATAAGTCAGTAGATACATAGAATTTTGCTTTGGTGGTTGTTTCCATTTTCCAACAAGTGAAAAATATACGAGTTGTTCTGTTGTCGCAATTATAGGCCAAGGACCGAGTCAGTTGAGGTCAATCTACGTTTGACATGTGACACCGAGAGAAAGTTTAGCCTATTCGTTATTCTCTTTCAGTTTTTTATTTAACTTTTTTAGTTAATGGTAAATATGAATGCGCCAGCAAATAAGAAATTTAGACTTCTGAAGGATTTTGGTGTAACATCGAAGAACTCTTAGCGGACAAAAAACCGAGTTTCTGTTTTTCAAGGTAGAATGTCAGCTTTCACATTTTCTGTGCTCGTATTGTGCAAAAAGATCCAAGTTTTCTAACAGGATGTGAAGTTTGTCACTCTTTACACTATTCAGAGATTGTCTAGTTTACGCTATACTGGGAGTAGTTACCAACACACACACACACACACACACACACACACACACACACTAAACCATACTGGGAGGGAAAGACTGAATGGAACGCATACATTCATAGAATATCTGACATTTTGTGGTCTCATAGAATATCAAAATTTGTTGGTCAGAGGAAGACAATCTCTGAATTTAAGGTTACACTGCTAGTACCTCAGTCAGTGCTGAACTCCACAATGTATACATAAATAATCTGTTTTGACTCAGCAATGTTGGTGTAATGTTTCTGCTTTAGTATTCCAATGTATTTCCAAGTATTCTTAATAATGACCAGTCATTTTGGTTATTCAATGTTGAGAGCTTCACTGACATTCTAGATCTTTTGTTTACAAAATGATTGCATGAAAGGGAGAACATTCGTAGTAGTTGCATGCACGCATTTGTTCGAACACGGATCCTCTCTTGTGCACTGAACTGTCCAGTGCAAACACGAGCAGATCCGAATTTCATATTTCTCTTTTTCCTTGACAATGATGCCATTAGGAGATTTCAATATCTGCATTTCGTGATTATTATCAATAGTTTGGACTAACAAGGGCAAAGATAAGGGTTCAAGTGAAACATAAAACTGAATCAAGAAAAGCTAAGGTTGATAAAAATCACATGGGTAAAGAAATGCATAATATATTATACTAAATAGGTAAAATTAGACCCAACTCATTTAATTATCGTGTCAAGAACCCTCAACCCGTTTATTAAACGGGTAAACGTGTTAACCTGTTTAATGACCTATTTATCAAAACAAGACATTTAATATTTAATCAAATAATAAATAATAATAATAAATTGTCACAATTAACCCAAATATTTAAAATAAGAAAAAATTCATAAGGGACAAGATTTATATTGAAATGACTTAACTATTCATAACAATTGGGTTTAAACAGCTAACATATTACATATGTCATTTTTTTTTTTCTTCCTAATTAATACTCACACACACGTCTCTTCTAAGACTTGAACCCCTGACTTCTCTTTAGGAAGTAAGAGGCCGATACCGGTAGGCCACTGGCCCGTTAGTAACATGTTGAATTAAACGGGTTACACAGGTTGAACCCCTCAACCCTAACCCAATATGGTTAAATAAAGGGGCTAATCGTGTCAACCTGTTTATGACCTGAACCAGTTTAAAATCAACCAAAACCTGCTTATCTCATATCGTGTTCGAATTGTGTTGGCCAATCATTTCGTAATTTGTCACCCCCAGTTTATTTACATATTTATACATATTTACATATTTATACAGAAACACGACCGAAATGCCTTTATGAAGTTTTACATGAAACTAAATTCAAGATTCTGAAATTTATGGCAAAGTCCTCTTCAAACACAGCCTCCCCATGCTAAATGGAGGGAATTTTTTTTTTTCTAATACTGCTTTACCAATTCTACCCAGTGGAGTGGCCTAGTTGGTAGAGCCCTGCTCCCCGTGTGCCCATATTCAAGTCCCCCCAGAATTCTCATTTTTCCAAATCTGTGAAAAATCACAAGAACTCCAGCGCTTTTTTCCCACAATGTAGACTCAGACCCTCAACCTACTGTGGGAGATGAAGAAGATGTCTCATTTTAAAGAGTATGTCACGCAGTCTCAACACCTAGCAGTATTATATAGAATAACATCATATATTTTGTTTCTACCCAATCCACCATGTTCCCCAAATTTCGGCACTCTGATACGTCCACCAGTGGAACAAATCGATACCTGTAATTCAAAAACTGTCATCACACAAAATCATGAATCAAGAACTCGTCTTTCTATTAAGCACATTATGCTTTGACATACGTTTTCTTCCTCCATTTACATGCATTAAAAAAAAAAAAAAAAAAAAAGGAATAGCTCAAGACAACTAAAATGGTGATCATTATCTCAAAAAAGTATCACTAGTCAATCCATTTTCATGTACAATTGAGAAGGCATTGTTCAAGTGCTTTTAGCCGGAGATTGTCAGTACGTCTGACATGACATCTACATGATACTTCATGCCCTGAACAAAGGCAATCATTCTACCAACTTGTAGGGCAAAAAGAGACTTCAAAATTTCTTGCATGGCTAATTCACGATTGGTACGACGAACGAGCAGTAACAGCATATCCACATCAATTGTACAAGGCTATACAGAGAACGAAACCCGCAACTCCCAACTTTTAGAGAAGTGGTATTGCAATTAGACCAAACTACATCAATCTACGAGGTTCTCAATCATTTCCGCTGCAGGACCCACTGAAGACAAAGGCGTGGGATTCAGAACACAGTTTTCTTTAATTGCATTATGAAATTCTTCCATAAGTAACTTTCGGATTTTCCGTCTCAAACCAGAGGCTTCTTCAGGTCTGAACCACTGCTTGCCAAACTGAGATTCAACAAAATATAAACTAAGGATAACATTTTTTGTCATTGGCAAGAAACTCACACGCACACCACCACTCACACACCCACTTTGCTACTTTGGAGACTTGAACCCTCACCAATCACCATCCACTTTGGGAGGTAGAGGAGATACCACTAGGCCACAAGGCCCTTGGTAAACTAAGCATAACATTATCGTGTGAGTTACGAAACTGAATCAACAATAAACCACATAATTTTAAAACAGAATGTACCATTTCTAAATCACTCTTTTTCAGCCTTTCAGGAGCATCTTCAATGAAGCGCTCCATAAAGAAAAGAACGAAGAGACCACAGTCATAGTCATTTCTCTGTTGTGGAACCTGGTGGGAAAACACACACAATAACAGAGAAAATGCTCTCAGAATTAAAAATTAAAAATAAAAAATAAAAGAAGTTACAAAGTGATCAATTTTTGCAATTTTGCAGCTCATAATCCAAAGACAAAAATTCCCTCACCATCCATATGTATTTCAAAAAATGTTCCATGATTCTTGTACTTCTCACATTTCAACAAAATTAAGGGTTAAGACTATCTAAAGCCTTAAAACCTAGCTTAATTCATTGTCACAAGTTTTCTAGACATCCTCTTCAGCATATCTATTGGGGCAGCGGAAACGCGCAAATAAATAATGATCCAATGAAAGTCAAAGCAATCACACACAAACACAAGATATACGTGGTTCAGACAAAACCGGCCTACGTCCATGGATGAGAAGAGATTCCACTATGATTCGTAGAGATATTATAGCAATAGAGTATCAACACCTCGTTACCTCGTACATGTCTTTTCACCATGTACCACTCCACGAGCCTATCTCCTCGCTAACAATGTCATTGGTGTTTTTCCTACTCTACCAACCCCCGTACTACCTCTACTCATCAACTCTCTCATGAGACTACATCTCTCTCAATCTTATAAGTCTCAACCCACAACATAGCCACATAGGTACTTATTTATAGAGTTAAAAAAAATATATTCCTTGTTGGATAAGGATTACAATTCCTTGGAGCCCAAAGACTTGTTTGACAATAAATTACCTTAAATAATACAACTCTAAAATAGAAACTAAATTAGAATAGGAATTTGGAACACAAATTCCAACAATGTCACTTGTGTGAATACTAGAAGAAGCTATCCCTTGGTCCTTAAGTATGTATAACTTTGAAGTCACAACTACCATGAGTGCAGGGTGTTGGTAGAAACCTAACCATTTATATTATTTGCACAGGTTGTTTGTCCACAAGACAAAAACCGGATTCTCAGGCTAGACAGTTCCAGCTTTTACCAATGACTTTGAGATAGAACAAATATTAGGAAACGCACACCAAGTTTACAGCTACTAAGTACTATCAAAGTTTAATACAACTAAATATAGCTGGATATATATATATAATAAAGTAGCAAGTAAGCTCTGAAGTTCAGATTAACATCCAAGTGATATATTATTGTTTGTGATAGGGAAACACAACATGTGTGATGTGTAGATTTTTAAGTTAGCTTAAAATAGGAGATAAATAACAACTAATATATAAAGAAAAAATATATATATCAAGGCAAATAGCCAGCTGTGAAGGATAACTATAAAATTCAGGAAGAGAAAGAAAATGAAATTTCCTACATTGAATTTTATTCATGAAATAATTCCCAACCAAGTGAGGATAAGAGCGACTCTGATATTCCTTGGCATGGAATATGCAAAATAGCTATAAAACACAAATTAAAAGTTTCTTAGCATACTTCCAACCAGAAAAGGATTCGCAGAACATAATCCTCAATTTTCAGGCACTCGGAACAGAAATTTACCGTAATTGGCTTTCCATCAATTCTACGAGGGAGATGTTTCCATATTCTTTCTGATATAGGAAGATCCGAAGGAGCTTCCCCTTGATTCAGATAGTTCCATTCTTCTATCATAAATCTGGGACAACATTCACACATTTTTTTAGTATGATAACAAGCTTCAGATTAAGATGACATTGAATGAGAAATTATAAGTGCATGTTTATGGTAATTATATCATTCAGATCATGTTGTAAGAAATAAAAGGGGCATTAGATGAGAATATTATCCCCAAAATTTCATATACCACATAATGAACAATGTAATAAAAATTGATATATAGCATGTAAAATGTTCGAGAATGCAAGAGACACAATCACCCAAGGTGTAACAAAAGAACACAGTGATTAAGGCTCCGTTTGTTTGGATGTAAAATATTTTTTTATTTTCTAGTGTTTGGTTGTCATAAAATATTTACGAAGAAAAAAAAAATTAAAATCTAACAAAAATAATTTACCCATCAATTTTCAACAAGTTATTTTACACGCCCCGCCCGATGGACTCAAAAAAGACCTTTGCCAAACGCCGAAAAAGTAAAAACAAAAAATAAATATTTTACCTGAAAAGAAAAAAAATTCCCGAGAAAAATATTTTACGTCGAAACAAAAGGAGCCTAAGTGAAGGATATGTTCACCCAAACAAAGTACATTTCATATTCAAATTTGCCACTTAATACATTTTAAACCAAAGTAATCAGGTTCAGAAGAACCTCAGTCATTATAGTCATCTTAACTCGCTTTTGATTAGACAAGAATGCAATACGCCCCATAATAAGCACCAACACATGCATTTGAAAGGTAAACTATGAAGATTCTGAAAGATAACCACGACAACATTATGCTTTAATACAACAAAAGGTGCATGCAAGAAAGGGAAGAAGAAAAGTTAAATGCCAACATTGAACATAAATATATGAACTGCATTGCTTTAATATAGGTGGAAAAATCAAATTTTCACAAGAATAATTGCACTTTAATGGTTTCTACAGCGCACAATATATAGACAACATTTAAACTTCAACAATCACATACCTTTGAAAACACATATTTTTATGTAAGAATAATAGCTACTTCAAGAAACTATTAATACTTGCACAGACACATACATACATATGCATATACCCACACAGATGCACATAAATAGATGGATGAAAAATCAGTATCGTAAAACTTAGTTAAGAACCCAACTCAGGTTAACAGTTGGAGCAGGTTGGATTACTTGGGTTGATGATAATGCGGGCATCCATTGAGAAACATAAGAGACTAACCAACTGACCCGGCCAGGGTTCGAGGGCGAGTTTTACTTATTTAAGAGAGAATATGTAGTGAATTGAAAAGCATCTGATCCAATTCTTGATTTGAGGGCTTTTAGCGAGGCGGGTGGAGGAGTCTGATAAAGACATTGATGAGCAGCCGCGTATCAATTCCGATCCTCAATTTGATACCACTTGAGACAGGTGCAACAGAGTGCAGGCCCCCAGAGGGGCTGCTATAGTAAGGGTGGATGCTAGTTCTGTGTAGGGCTGCAAATGAATCGATCTGTTCATGAACAGTTCGGGCTCGGGATCGTTCATTAAGTAAATGAGCCAAGCTTGAGCTCATTTTTCAGGTTCACTTAGTAAATGAGCCGAGCTTGAGACGAATGTTAAGCTCGGCTTGTGAAGCTTATGAACAAGCTCATTTACATAAAGCCCATTATATTTAAATTCTAATATTTAAAAGCCTAGCTCATCCATGCAAGTTTAGCCCATGTCAGATATCTTTCATTGGCCCAAATTAATATTTTTAATCTTTAGAAGATCATCCTACAAAAACTAAATAGCACGTTAGCCCAACTCATGACTTAATGTCAGCCATTGGATTAATTTCTTACATCAAGTCAAAGTGTTAGATAGAAACCCTAAAATCACAGCTGCAACAACCAAGTTTCCTTGTGCCGGCAACCCTCATTCAACGGAGCAGAACTCCATCCCCGACAGCAAGGTTAGTTCTCTCTCTCTCACACACACACACACAACTCTCTCTCTCTCTCTGTGTATGTCTCTTTTGCTCTCTACACTCGGATAATATTGTGATGGAACTAGAGATCGATGGTTATGGGAATCCAAAGCTAGCAAAAGGGAGGATGAAGATTGGAGATTAACAGGGGATCTCGGAAGCCGGCCATTGAAGGAATGATGCAATATTTGTGTCTCTGAAAACGGTTAGATCAACCTGATTCCCTGGAGATATATACACACACAAGAAAGAGCCGAGCCGAGAACGAGCTTGTCTAAAACATTCCAGCCGAGAACGAGCTTGGCTAGGCCAAGCTCAACCGAGCCCAAACACTTATCTGACCTAGGTGAGCTGACCCCAAACAACCTAAAGCTCAGCTCAGCTAGGCTCGCTAAATTGTAGCCCTAGTTTTATGTTAAGATTCTGATTATTAATGATTTTTCTCGACTTTCTTATGAATTAATTCTACACAACAAAGCGTATCTTTAAGATGAGTAATGTTGCCAATGAAAGATGTAACGCTGCAAATGAACCAAGTTCATGAACAGCTCAGGCTTACCTTGTTAATGGCTCATCTTGTTTTGTCCATTAAGTAAATGAGCTCGTTTTCTATAAGGCCTAAGCTGGAGCAATTGTAGGAATAATGTCGACTAATTAACACGTCTAATAATCTTCTTTTCAAAAAAATAAAAATAAAAATAATTATTTTTTCTTTTTTTGCAATTTCAAGAAGTTTCGTGCCATTTCATCAATAGACAAGGTAATAACATATAATATATATAAATATATATATCTAGGAAAGTGTTACAATATATAATATTGTTAAAATAAATATGTTTCGCAAGCTAACTAGCCAACCCAAGCCAAGCTGGCTTGCAAAAACACTTGAGCCCAAGTTTTTCCAATCTTGTCTGAGCACGAACAGAGTTACAAAGATGAATGACTATGCAGATCATTTTACAGTGACTAGGAGAAGTGGCTTGATATTAAATGAAGTCAAAGGCCACTCAGTCCTATAAAAGTAGTAATTAAGGTTTAGAAATACCAAGTGACAATTTAAGAAAGTGAAAAGTGTCAATAATGTTGTGTGGGAATGTTGAAAGTGCCATAAATGTTGTGTTGAACTCTTAAAATCTGTTTAGAGAAGTTCAAGGTCATTAGTAATTGCATTACAAAAGGACAGCATCCTTACTCCAATAATACAAGTTTTCTCCAATATAATTGGTACTTTATCAATTGATTCACTGTTTTTCGGTCTTTTCCCATATTTTCCAATAGAAATCTATGTTCCACCAAGGGTAAGAGTAGTATCAGTCTCTACTTAAAGTTGTAAGTGGACTAATGTACCATTTTCTCCTCTTTGTTAGCATACTGGCATTAGAGCCTCTTTCTTGAGGACTTGGATCCTCTACGTTCCTCCGGTTGCTCCACTTCTGCCCGCTGTTTAATCGAGCAGTGGAAAGAAGGCCACGTGTTGGTACAAATTCCAAAAGAAATATGAGTCCTTTTTTAAACAAAAATTCCAACATTACCCTCTTGAACTCTTCTTTCTGAAAGCATCCATATATAATTATATATATATATATATAATTAGATACAAACAGAACTGAACACACAAACAAATATATATATATATATATAAAGAACCACGGTTCTCTCATCTCTGTTCCCCAACTCTACTATACTTTTATATGGAGATTTCTAATATATTTTACAACTTTAATTTGCAATAGGAAAAATATATTCCTGGCTTTATTATTTTTGCGCCGAGAACCAATAAAAACAAGAGAACGTTATTAAGTTAAGTTGGCAAGAGAAGAAGTGATGTTGATTCTTGAGTCTAGGGGGAGAGTGAAGGGATATTGAATGTTTGATATATATATATATATATATATATATGAGTTCAGTTTGTATTTTCATTGATGCTGTAAGGGGGAAGAGGGTAATATTGGCATTTTTAAATTTTAGTAAATCCAGATTTGTCTTGAGATTGTGCGCATACATGGCATTATTTCCGCTGCTTCATTGAGCAGCGGACAGAAGCGGATCAAAGGGAAGAACATAGAGGATCCAAGTCCCTTTCTTGAATCTGTGACAGTTGAGATCTATGGAAGCAACTAAGTGAACAATAGAAGAACTCTTTGACATTTCAAGCAGTATATGCGAACAAATACCTTTTCCGGCTTATTGGGTAAGATAAATTGTTCATATTTGTTCAATATCTGATATGTGGACCATTGGTCCCCATGAAATTAACCTAGTTTACTACCAAAAAAGATATTAAAATAGTTTGTCATTCAATTTTAATTTCTTTTCTCTTACTTAGCAAAAAAAAAAAAAAAAAAAACACAGTTACATGAGAAAATCTGGAGAACTTGATTGGTTTTTCACTAGTCTTTAAAAAAAAATGGGAAGTGATATTTGCACTCTCCTTTCTGATAAATGTATTCCACTTTTAAAGTGAAATGACATTAGTTGTCCCTAACTCGTAAATAAGAAACAAAGTATTAGGGGCATTTTTTTTTTTTCCCCATGGCAAGAAACACACTCACACCCCTACTTGCCCTTAAGTGGACTTGAGCCCTCAATCTTCTACTTTGGAAGATGAGGAAGTACCGCTAGGCTACACAGCCTTTGGTGTATTAGGGGTATTTTTGTCATTTATATTTTTTTTAAAAAAATGAATACATTTATCAACAAAGGGAGTCCAAATATGACCTCTCGAAAAAAAATTCAGAATCATTTGTCCTAATCTGACTATTGGGAGACAAAAGGCACCAGCAAAAAAAATGCATATCAACATATTTTTTTTTCGAAAGGTAAATAAATATCAACATAGAAGTTAAATAAATCAACCTGCAGTAGAAAATTTTCAGCAACGACAGTAAGTAGCCTTTATGATAGCCAGTTTCAATTGAAAAATGGAAGATGACCAAGATCTAAATGGTAATGTAAAAATTCCAGACATTACTGGAGAAGATGAAGTCCAGGACTGGTTAAATGAAGTCAAAGGGATTTTTGAGTACATTGATCTTCCAGATAGCAAGAAGATGAAATTGGTAGATATCAAGCTGAAGGGACGTGCATCTTTTGGTGGCAACAAGTTCAATTACAAGAATTTAATCAGCGAAGGGGCAAGTTCAAACCTGGATGAAGATGCAAGGAATGATTTGGAGCCAATTCCTTAATTAAACTATGTAGGAATTTGATTTCTTTCAGGAGTATACTCTAATTATATCTACAATACGAAAACTCAAGTACACTTGGGTTAATCAGAAAAGCAAGTCATCCATCATTATTTGATGGGCCTAAGTACAAATACAAGAAACTGGGTGTAGTTAAATCTCCTGGACATTGTCACAGTCCAGTTAAAATTGAAGGTTGAAGCTGAAGCCACAGCCTAGAAAGCATCCAAATCAGCGCCAAAAGAGGACAGCTGAAGTTAGATGCTGATATAAATAAGGAAATGTCCTGCAGAGATCTAGTGCAGCATCTAATTTTACACATAAAACTAGTAAAATACACAGACCGTGGTTGTAGACAAGGCCGATGAAGTGAGTCAGTAAATAACATTATCAGAAGTAACACCAAACAACTCCAGTCTGTGAGAAAAAATCATATATTATAAAAGTGGAAAAGAGATCATTAATCCTTTTAATTGTTGAAAGGAAGCCGGCAATTTACTTGCAGATGAAGTAGAAGATGAGAGACAATGCAGAAGGACAACTTGATGAACCACATGACGCGCTAAATTTGTTGAACTTTGCAAAAGATGAAGTCAAATATAATCTTTTTTATTTCCCAGAATCTGGTTGTAGTGAGCCATGTTGACATGGAAAGCACCTGAAGTGATTGAAGACGTAATGATATCTTTAGAATAAGGTGCTAATTTCATGGACAGCTCTGGAATGTCATCCAAGGCAAATTAAAAAATGTAGTTTCTAAAGATATGGTGATAAAGCTGAACCTTGAAGTGTAGCTGGATCCAAGATCATACCAAATAGCTTTATACAAGTCAGGAGTCAAAGTAAAACTAAACAAAAACCAATATCTTCCTCCCATTGCATATAAAAGTCTGTCTCATATGGTGCAAGTGGAAGCTTGACATCTACAACACTCAGTTACTCAGATAAAGTAACACTGACACAAAAATATTTTTATAATGCAAGCAGATTGATTGACGATCATGGGATCTGCCTTGCACCAAAAGGCTTTAACTTTAACGGCATAAAAATTCCTATGGATTAAAAATACAAATGAAAATATATGTATACAGATAAAATATATATTGCATCATATCAAAATTTTCTAGCTCAATGCAGTTATGTATATAGATAAAATATATTTTTCATCATATCATAATTTTCTAGCTCATTGCAGTAATAAAATAGTCATTGTTGCCAAAAAAATTACCCTACCACCATATTTTGGGAAAATATAAAAAGACATTACCCGTCGTAATCCTGCCTAAGCAGTGTGTTGGAAGGGGAAGTTGGGAATAGACCTAACATTTGATATTATTTTGCACTGACTGACTACTCTCATACTCGAAACTTCATCCTCACAATTGTCGGTCCAAACTTACTATTTAACCAAGCAATGACCCCTAATTTTTCCTTTTTCTGGGAAAATATGCAAAAAGAAAATGCACCGGTCCAATTAATCAGTCATCTCATAAACTTATTTTCTACTCTCTACAGCATGTGAATGGTCAATGTTTAAATCCAAATAGCTGAAATTCTATAGCACTGATTGAAAACTTGCAAATCAAAAGTACTAGATGAAGACTTACAAATTGAAGAAATACAGCAATTACCATATACGTCATATAACCATAGAATGATTAGTTGGAAAGGACACCCTTTATCTCACCTTTTGATGTTATCAAAAATTGAGTTACTAAAGTGAAGTCCCAGTGAATCCAAATGAAGTATAATAGGTCCTGATTCATCCTCCTTGTCCGGAATACAAATAATCACCAAGCTCCAATGAAGACTGCATTAAACAACCAAAATAAATAAGTTAGAAAATTTGCCATAACTGAAAATGAGGTCAAACCTTAAGTTACAAACTTCCACATGTTTGCATCAAAGCATATATACACACGAGTAATTGACCCAGATTGGCCTCTAGGAACCAATTGAGTGAAAAAAGTGCTGTCCAGATGTTAATTTATAGATAAAATTAAAAGAATATACAAGGATATAATTCTCAACAATCCGTCTTTCCAAGTCTAATTCAGCTTGTTCCTATTTCCTCTCTCTTTTAAATCTTGATTCCCTTAGTGCAGCTTCAACCGCAGGCCTGACTTGTTTTTATTTTCTTTGAAAAAGAAATGAATTTTACTTTAAAAAAAAAAAAAAAAAATGAATATACAAGGATATAATTCCCAACAAGAGGGTTACTAATAACTATCAATTCCATTTGTTGGCCTTCATTGTCATCAGTTTCCTCAGTGATGAACTATTCTTCGGGGTTACTAATAACTATCAATTCCATAACCTTTTCCTATCCCACCTAGGTCTATGAATTTCTCTATCAACTCCATTACCTTTTCCTTACCCATGAGTTTCCATTATTTTCTCCTTAATTGACCTAGGAGTTGTTGAAAACTTATGACCAACAATAGCTATTGTTTTTCCACCAAAAGGTTCAAATTTATGTGAATACTTGCAGCAATCCAAGAATTGGAGAATAGAGAGTGTACTTTTTTTTCTCTTTCTCGTGGCATAATATCAGTTACTTTTATCAAGTAACACAAGTATAATTTCAAAGCATAAGCATCAATGATTCAATACACGTGAAAATTCTTACCCTTTTCATGGTTTCTCTCGACATTTGTGGGCTTTAAACATTTGAAAGTACAGAGCTAAAAATATCGACACCCCACTTATATAAGCTTCAGAAGTAACTTAAACAACTTACTTTTCATGAATTGGAAGGAGTATATATGCTTTCTGGAATATATTAACACCTTTCCACCACCTTCTGAACTTGACAAATAAAGTTTCCTTGCCACTTGGCTACAGATCATCAGAGAAGACAAGTTAATCATGAACGCAATACACAAGATGCGATATGATGACTAGAATTAAGCATGTATATTTGTGTATAATGTTTGTTTTGATGCACAAGAATTTCTGGAAACATCAAATGAAAATTTTATTCTATTTTGATGGACGTTATACTGTGAAGGTTGAGTAAAAAATTCTACATCATAACAAATGGAACCAGAGGGATCTACCAGAAACTTCACAAAAAGAAAAATCTTCAAGCACTGCTGATACTTCATAGGGCATGCTAATGCTTTAAGCAATCATTGGGAAAATTTCTCCACTTTTTCCAGCTTCAAAATATGCGAATCCAAAACGTAAACTAGAACTAAGATTTTGCTTTTTAGGATGAAGAATGGTTTCTAGAAGAACTCCAATGGAGTAAAAAAAATAAAAAAAAATTACCTTGTTCAAAACAGCTTCTTTTAGTTTCTTGTAAAAATATGTGTTGAAGATGTGTTAATCACATCTTGCCCTATTTTTCGGAGAAGTGGAATGGTTTCTAGAATAACTCCAATGGAGTAAAAAAAAAATTAAAAAAAATACCTTGTTCAAAACAGCTTCTTTTAGTTTCTTGTAAAAATATGTGTTGAAGATATGATAATCACATCTTGCCCTATCTTTTGGAGAAGTGGACTGCTGCAGATATCTAGCCAAAAGAAACCAGCATATTAGTGATAAATGATAATGCCAATCTCGAAAGCAAATTCACTGCTAAAAATCTCCTCATTTGTTCCAGAATATGATTACAAGATGACATGTACAAATAATAGAAATGGATGGGTCTCTTACATAAGAACTCAAAAAGTTAATAAAGATGATAAATATATGATTGTTTCTCATACCTAATAAACCAAATATTATACAACTAGTGAAGTGGATTCATGTTTTTCCAGATGTACAACAAGATCAACTTTGACAATACCTAAAACTCCATTGTTCCACGGCCAAGTTGATTGTGAGTCAATTGCAGCTTGGGAATCCAATTTGATTGAAGAGAATATCAATAGTGCAACAGTTATGAATAGGAAATCAAAGGGGCTATTGTTATTACTGGGAGGAAGCAAAGGACCACTCTCCTGTGCGATTAGCATTACTTGAAACCAAGGACACAGATCATAGCTATCCATTTCAAGGACTTGAAACTTATCCGAGTGGTCAATGGTATAAAAAAAGATGAAACTGCACAGGTAGATGGATATGGAGATGGACATGAAAATGAAAATGAATAAACACTGAAAAAGGGACTCCATTAATTATAAATGAGATCAGAAAATAAAATTAAAACTAAGGACTAGAGCTAAGCTAATAATGGTTGGGTTAACTTTTTTTTTTTTTTTTTTTTTTGATAAATAAGATTATATTAGAAAGCATTCAAAAGGGGAACGTATCCCAGACACTATACAAGGCCGAAGCCAAAGAACTAGTCCTACGGACCCAAGGAACCCAAAAGATCAACAGTCTCCTTTATAGATTTACAATTTCTCCCCATAACCCAACTAAAAAGAGAATTAATGATAACAAATTTCAAATTCCCAATGGAAGATTCCTCCCCGTCGAAAGATCTTCTATTCCGCTCCTTCCAAATGCACCACCAAACACAAAAGGTAACTGCCCACCATAATTCACGAGCATGGGCTCCCACAAAACAGCCTCTCCAAGCGACAAATCAATCCCCTCGCAAAGCGAGGCATAACCCAATACCATTGGCAACTATGCATGGCCTTCACCCGTCAATCCATGATTTAAGGGGGATAAGGGTTGACTATCATTGCATAACTGGCCCTTATTGTAAGATCCATATGATATATGTGTATGGACACGCAAAGTGTGAACAGATGTACTCAAAAGCAAAAAAATAAAAAATAAAAAAATAATCCGTTTCAAATTGAGAAAAATGAGTAAGATCTGTCTAACATACTCTAAAAATGGTTCGTTTTGCTCTCCTCCTGTGAGCCCCACCATGTAGGTCAAGTAACCAATTGGACACTACCATCCAATAGCACTTAAAATCAGGGTTCCTTTTTTATATATCACTGCATTAACTAAGAGCATGAAAATATTATCGTAAATGGATGAATTTAAGTAAATCTTGAATATTTTAGCTCCTGAACTTTTTTATCTGCCAAGAAAAGAACTAAATATCCAAAATTATCTATCCAGCTACCATGTGATAAGTTTAACTATCCATCCGTCCAACAAAATGATGTCTATAGCTAGACTTCAATATTATTTATATTCAGAATCCTACTAATCCATTTTCATGTCGGTAAGGGGAAGAGAGAGGTGGGTGGTCTTCATGCCCAGTCCCTAACGCAGGAGGAGTTGGCGTCTGGAAATTTATTCGGAAAGGATGGGATGTTTTCTCCTCTCATATCAGATTCAAAGTTCGGGATGGTTGATGTGCTCGGTTTTGGGAGGATTTATGGTGCGGAGACCAGCCGTTGTCTTGCTCTTTTCCAAGGCTTTTTAGAATCGCTACTAATAGACATGCCTTTGTAGTTGATTGCTATCGGCTTGATAGCAGTGGGATTATGTGGGATGTGCGTTTTAGGCATTCTTTTCAGGACTGGGAGATGGATGAGGCTTGCACTTTTCTGGATATGCTGTACCAACAGGAGGTTGGTGGCATAGGTGATGATGTTCTTCTGTGGGTTCCCTCTTCCCATGGAGGATTCGAGGTCCGATCTATGTTTATGTGTCTTTCCAACTTGCTGGTTTCGTTTTCCCTTGGAAGATTATTTGGCGTTCTAAGGCTCCACTTAGGGTGGCATTCTTTGTGTGAACTGCTGTGTGGGGTAAGATTTTGACTTTGGATAACCTGAGGAAGCGAGGCATTATTATTGTCAACCGGTGTTGCCTATGCAAAAACGATGGTGAGTCTACGGATCACCTACTCTTACACTGCCCTGTGGTATATGATTGTTGGAATCTTATTTTCGGATTGTTCGGCATTTCTTGGGTGATACCCCGGTCCACAAGGGGCATGATTGAAGCGTGGAGGGGATGTCATGTGGGGGGTCATGCTCGTGAGTGTTGGAGGACCATTCCACATTGCATCTGGTGGTGCATTTGAAGAGAGAGGAATAACAGATGTTTTGAAGGAATGGAGGTGTCTACAGCAACTTTGAAACTTCATATTATTCGATCCATTTTCAATTGGGCGAAGGGGAGACATTGTCCTTCTTCTGACGATGTTGTTGATTTCTTGGACTCATTGGGTCCATAGGTTTCTGTTTTGTTTTTGTAAATGGGACGCGTTCCCCTTTTAAACGCTTTCTATTGATTTTTTACTTGTCAAAAAAAAAAAAAAAAAAGGAATCCTACTAATCCATTTGGAATTTCCTCAAAATTGAAACAGCAGCACCTATCGAAGCTAATAAACAATGCCCGTGAAAAGAAAAAAAAATAAATAAAAAAATAAAGGTCCCAACTTGAACTTCTTCCATAAGAAGCTGTTGTGTTCTTCAATTCTCTGTTTGTTTGCCTCATGAGCTCTTTTCTGGCAATCTAAGGTCGATGGGCTATAGAAGTCAGTCATTAACAAAAATGGTAAAATAGATGTATAAATCTCAAATAATTGTTAACTTCCAAACTCTAATCTCATAGGATTTCTTCTGGCAACAATGAACACAAATCTCGTACTTCTAGCTGCAGAGGACAAGACTATTTGCCATAATTATAGAAAATTACCATTTCAGTCATGTGTAACAGTATTTTCTATTTGCAACTACCTGAAGGGACCCATCATATTATTTATAAAGAACATCAAATGTAAAGAATAAGAATCAGAACACATTTACAAAACTGTCCTCAAACTGGGAAAACATGGAAAAACCAAAATTAAGCTAAATCTAAAAACAGTACATACTGCCTAATAAATGCATCAAATTATTAAGAACATCCCCTATACACGTACCGTATATAAAAATTCATAACAGTTGATGAAAGATAGGTTTCAGGAGCAAGGCACTCCATGTCTGAGTAACATATTTCAACTGATTCTGGATCATCCCTGTATCCATAAATGAGAGAAAATAGAATGCTCAAGTTATATTTTAAAGAGATTATGCACCAAGGAATTCATATTCCTCATCTTTCTTCAGGAAAAAGATTATGGTGTACCTTGATGGATAGTAGATCTTACTCTCTTTCATACTGGACAAAGATAGAAAAGAAAAGAAAAACAAAATGTTACTGGAATCAAATAATTGCAAACCCCAATGGACAAGCTGAGATACGAAGGGGGAAAAAGACAAAAATCAAAAAACAAAAATAATAATAATAATAAAGAAAAAATCTCAAAAATAAAACTTCTACCTGTCATCTGCTATGTTAGCTTGCTCCGTCATTTCTATGAGCTGAGGTTCCTCCTCATCCACTAGAACAACAGTTTTCCCCTGGTCGAAGTTTGAACATTGTTAGCAGGTGCAAAACCAATTAGTTATCAATTAACATACAATATTAGGAAATAAACGGTTAGACCCAAAGGATCAACCTTCCGTCGAACAAAAATAAAACAGCATTCTTCTCAGGAAAACGACTGAAACACAAACATATATAGAAAAAATAGAACAGGTAAATCAACCAACATTTTTTCCAGCAGAACACACTACTCAACTTCAATAAATACTTAGCATCAAATTATGTCCTATCCAACTCAAAGTTTTCCAATACTAGTTGGTTTCTTTCTTCAATTAAAACCTAAACATAGCTTACCGCGGATGGGGGAACTGGCATAGTTGTAAAAGGCTCAAGGAGCACTAAGGCGCAAAGGCCTTTTGGAGCCTGAGGCGCAAGGCGAGGTGCGCGCCCGACTGAAGCAAGGTGCAAGTTGAGGAAACAAAAAAAAAAAGCACCCAATAAAGATGCAATAGTAAATATAAATATGCAAAAGTCATGTAAAACAAATACTTTCAATAGCAAAAAATAGCAAGCAATTTCACACAAAATAAAAACAGCATGCAGAAGGAAAGGGGAAACACAGCAGAAGTAAAAAAAAATAAGTAAAAACAGATAAGGTAAACAAAAATTAAAAAAATTAAAAAACACAAAGCAGTAGGAAAGGGGAAACACGGCAGAAGTAAAAAAAAATAAAAATAAAATAAATAAAAATTAGACCAGAAGAAGAAGAGGAGGAAGGGGGGAGAGAAGAAAAACGGAGAGAAAAAAACAAAACAGAGAGAGAGAGAGAGAGAGAGAGAGAGAAAAGGCCAGAAGAAGGAGAGAGAACAGGAGAAGAAAAGAAAATCAGAGAAGAAAAGAGAGGGAGAGAGATCAGCAGAAGAAAGAAAACAGAGAAGAAGATAGAGAGAGAAAATATTAGAGCAGAATAAGAAAAAGAGTATGTGTCTGTTGTCGGAGAAGTCAGAATATACAAGTGACAGACTAAAAGAGTGTTGTTTGGAGTCCTAAATGTTCAAGTTACTTTACCTTTTTGTTTCTATTCTATATAAGGGTCCACCACTAAATAGATTAGCACCAAACCATTCAAAAGTCAACAAAGAGGGTCCACCTCTAAATAGATTAGCACAAAACCATTTAAAAGTCAACAAAGAGGCCACTAAATAGATTAACACCAATCATATTTGAACTATTTTAAAAGGCAACAAAGAGGAACATTTAATCAGGCGCGCCTGAAGCGCCTTGGGCTTAACGCTTCTAACCAACAGGCTCGCACCTTTATAAACACGCTTCGTCTTAGTACATGCAAGGCACTGAAGCTGCGCCTTTATGCGCCTGGCGCCTCTGGCGCGCCCATAAAGGGGAGGTGCTTAGAGAGAACACAAATTATTTTGTAATGGACGGAGCAGAATAAGCTATCATCATCTATATTCCAATAGAAGGCCAAATTCTAGGAACCAGTAAGCAATTTAGTTTTCTGCAAACTAAACCAAAATGCATAACATGCAACTCCATTAAGGCCGGGTGAACACTTTTCAATCTGGATACAAGAGTAAAGGAAGTAGAGGGCCCCCAATTTCCACAAAAAGGTAGCAGAGTAGAGCCTTAGATAAGGACCATGCCAAAGAAAAAATGGCAGAATATATCATCAATTGCCATAACATCAAAAGACTGATAGCAGCAAGCAACCAGGAAGATGGCAAGCTGCCCCAGCTGCCTGCCTTCTTTTGTTTTTTTTTTTTCCCTACATAAAAAGAAAACAGCATGGTATACAATTCACAAAATGGACTTCAGCCATTTGCAAAACATGAACTTCAACAGGCATCAGCTGCAAACGCTAAACCCCAGAAATTATTGTGTGGGAAAAATCATTACTGGCAACTACCAGTTGAATAATTTCTCCTCCCCCCTCTCCACTTCTTGAGGGGAAGGTTCAAGTCCAGCCAGAACATGGGATTGTGTGTCTGCCTTGCCTAAAGGTAAAGTGATTTTTGACTTATATCACTATTTCCGCAAACACCTAGATTTGTCTTGTACATACCCGAGTATTATATGGGATTTTTTTTTTTTTTTGATAGATAAAGAAAAATATAGAAAATATAGTCAGAAGTTCATGGATAATAATTACCTTACACACAAATTCCCATTTACATTTCACATCATTTATACAGAAACATAGATAGAAAATACGCATATCAATACAGTTCAGTGAAAATCAAATTAAATAAATTATATCTTTTCCAAGTCATACGGTATTCACATTGTTGTATCATTGATGCAGGCCGGGAAGAGAGAATGAGAGAAAACAAAAGAGGGAAGAGAAAGGGGAAAAAGAGGAGAGAAGAAGAATTGCTCCCCTATTCAGAAGGGGGGCTTGGGCATTCGAAGATTGGATTTGTTCAACAAGGCGCAGCTGGGCAAATGGTTGTGGAGATTTGGGAGTGAGAGGTCCCTTCTTTGGAGGAAGATTATTGCATGCCACTGTGGAGAGGGTGATGGTGGGTGGCTGTCCAGGGAGGTGAGATTGCACGTATGGGTGTTTGGAAGCTTATCAGGAAGGGGTGGGACAAGTTCTCTAAACACATCCGATGCAAGGTTTGGAGTGGGAGTCACATCAGATTTTGGGAGGACCGTTGGTGTGGGGATTGTGTTATTGCTCGTAGGTTTCCTCCACTTTTCAGGATTTCTTCGACTCAACGTGCTATGGCTGCCGACTGTTTTCGTCTTGATAACAGGAGGTTGACTTGGGATGTGCAGTTTGGTAGAGAGTTCCATGATTGTGAGCTTATGGAGGTTAATGAGTTTTTAGCCTTGCTTTACTGGCAAGCGGTGGAGGGTGTGGGGATGGATGAGATGGTGTGGGCGGGCACGCCGAGAAGAGTATTCGAGGTCAGGGCGTTCTATCACAATTTGTCGGTGTCTCCAGGTTCTTCCTTCCCATGGAAATCGATTTAGAGGTTGAAAGCTCCCTTGAAGGCGGCTTTCTTTGATTGGTGTGCAGCCCTCGGTAGCATCCTCACCCTTGACAATCTTAGGAGATGACGGATCGTGATTAACTGGTGTTGTATGACTGAGGCTTGGAAAGGGTGTCTAGTCGAGAGCCGATCCAAGGTTGTTTGGAGGGCCACTCCCCTTTGTTTATGGTGGGGGTTGCGGCGTGAGAGAAATACAAGATCATTTGAGGGTGAGGAGACTCCTACTTGGTCTCTCAAAAAAAAGTATACTGCATACTTTATTTTTTTAGATTAACGGGCATAATTGTAACTCTTTGGGGGATCTTTTGAATTTTATGGATAGCTTAAAGATTTAGCTGTCACCTTTGGCGTTTTGTGTATTCTTTTGGGAGCGCTCCCCTCTTGAGCACCTTTCTATAAAATTTTACTTATCAAATATATAAATATAGAGAGAGAGAGTATTGAATTACAGATCTCTTCTCCCTCAGATTCTTCTTCTCTCATGTCTTCTTTCCTCTCTCTTCTTCCCACCCTCATTCTCTGTTCCGGTTCTAAATCACTCACACTAGTCTCTTCTACATCAGTTGGTCTCAGAGCTATTGTGTTCTACATCATTTGGTATCAGAGCTCACTACCCTTCTACATCATTTGGTATCAAAGCAAAAGATTCAAGCATTCGCCAATCCCATTCGCTGTCCATCATTTCATCCCTCTGTAAACCAAAAGCCCAAACCCAAACCACTATTCGTCACACAGCCCATACGGTACATCCACCACCATTACCACAACCTCAAATTAGCCCTCCTATAACACCCAACCGAAAACCATCAACACCACAAAGCCTAGCCAAACATCACTGTTTCAAGCCAACAGAAGCCCAGGCCTTCGCTGACCAAAAAGAAAAAGAGAAGGAAGAAGAAGTCGAACAGTGAAGAACAACTCACTGGGACTTCAGACAGGACATCTCTCATCATCGGCGCATTCTCGCCAACTTCCTTTCACTTCTGTTTCGCCATTGTCGCTGGAACCCTCTCTGCCCATCATCGTTTTGTTGTCTTTCACTGGCTGTCTTCAGGCAAACTCTTGTCTCCACTCTCCAGATCGCTCGAATTTATTTGTCAGGGACAAAACTCTGTCCGTGGGATATTTAATATCCCAAATTTGAATCTTTACCCATACCCATATTTGAGTCCAGAGCCGACCCACTTTTACTTGTAAACCGCCCCAGATTCCAGCCCATATTGCTAAATAAAACCAGCACATGTCCATCAATCTGATTCCTGTCCATTTAACCAATTAAAACCCAGCCATTGTTTTAAGCCAATAACCTATCTACTTCCTTTAACAGCCCAAAGCCCAGAAAATACTTCAATAGAAATCAGTACCTTTGGGACCCAATAGCTAAGACCATCACAACACATAATTTTACCCATTTTCAACCCACCCAAACCAGCCCATGCTTGACCCAAAGTCTAAATTATAAGCCATAAAATTTCTTTTGAGAGGAAGAATTTTCAGACTTCTCATGACAGATTTCTTGGACAGTGACATTTGTTTGTCTCCTCAGTGGCCTCATGCTAAGCCAAAGATTAACGCTCTTGCATGCACACCAATTTCACTTGGAATTCCTGCGAAGATTGGTCAATATTGGCATGAAGATGAAAGGGAAACACAAACATTCTTGAAAAGAGACTTGGAACAGCAGCTTTTGGAAACAGGAAATAGCCTTCTTCAACTTCCATCCTCTATCAATGAGCTCCATTGGTTGCTTAACACAAACTAATCACTTGCTTTGCAAGGTACACCAGGATCCATGTGTTTCAATGCAAGTTGCACTTTCTCCAATAATGAAGGCTTTAATTACTGAAGAATTTTTAAAGCATTCAGATTGTGTTGTTAGAGTTGCAGTAGTCTCCTGTCTTAGTGAGTTAACAAGGATTACAACACCAGATCTCCCTTATAATGATGATCAGATGATAGAAGTATTTCAGGTGATTGTTTCATCCTTTGAAAATCTATCTGAGAGATTTAGTATTTCTAATAGCAAGGTGGTCAGAATTCTCAACACATTTGCAAAGGTCAAGTCATGTTTGATTATACTAGATTTAGAATGTGATGAGTTGATTGTGAGGATGTTCTAGCGCTTTTTAAAAGAATTAAGTGATTATCATGAGGATAGAATCTTTAAATCCATGGTTATGTCTCATGTACTGGAGGAAAGTGATACTGTTTTGCAGGAGTTATTTGATACTCTTTTAGCTAGTGTTACCGAGGATAATGTGGAAAGTCGAAGACTAGGCAAGCAAGTACTCATGAACTGTGCACTTAGTCTTCAACCTTACTTTCAACAATGGACCAAAGATTGCAGTTTGCTTACATCTCCAAATGTAGAAGCATCAAATGAGGAAACTTCAAATGGCGAATTATTACCTCTCGATATGTCTGAAGGAACTAAAGATAACATGCAGGAGTTGTCCTCTCCTTCAGAGTAGTCTTTTGCTACAGATGTTCATAGTGTAGATTTTGTCTATGGGGATAAAGTTACAGGCAACTACAACTACTGCATTGGGGACCAGTATACAGGGAAATTTCTTGTTGAAAGAAAACGCTTGATCTTGTTGCAGTATTTGAGCCTAGCAATTTCAAGTTCGTTGTTGGATGCATTCTATGGGATCGATACTTTTGTTTTAACTCTTCGGAGAAGTGTTCTCCTCAACCGGGAGGGAATGATGAAGAACCAGGCATGGCCCATTGCACATAACTCTCACCTATGCATGGAGGAGAGGCAAGGACAGATAGATTTTTAGAGTTTATATATATTAGGAATTATAATAAATATAAGTTAGTTTTGCAATATTTCCTTAAAATTAGTATTAGGTCTAGGTTTTCCTGTAAATAAGTTATGTTGTCTTGCAGCTATGTTGGAACTTAGCATAGCTATAACTTTAGGCATAGGCACGGCCACAGGTTGGCTACATGGCAGCCATTATGGCTACATGTCTCACTGGGCTCATGGCAACCATTTTTAGACTTTTAAATTTTTAATGTTTGCAGCAGCTATTTTAGACTTAAATTTCTTTGTATTGCCTATGTTTACATAGGTATATGTATTGAGTTAGTTACCTTTGATGAATATTGAATATTGAGTATTGAATTACAGATCTCTTCTCCCTCAGATTCTTCTTCTCTCCTGTCTTCTTTCCTCTCTCTTCTTTCCACTCTCATTCTCTCTTCCGGCCCTAAATCACTCACACTAGTCTCTTCTACATCAGTTGGTATCAGAGCTATTGTGTTGTACATCAGTTGGTATCAGAGCTTTTGTGTACTACATCACAAGTGCAATTCATCTGTACGAGCAATGTCCTGATCTCCATCAATTCATCCCTCTTCTCATTTTTCTTCTTCTCTATTTTGTTGTCACAAAAACAGAAGTAATTATATTCATTTTGTAACTTTGATTTGGAAGCTTCACTGCCGTGAAAGAGAAAAAAGAACTTCACTATCATGAATTATTTTCTGTTTCTTCTGTTTAGTTTTTTCTTTTTCATCTTTTTTCACCCCATATACATAGATATTCTTGTGGCAGCATTTATACAAGGATTTCCCTTTAAAATCTTACTACACAAGGTTAGCAAAGTCAACAACTCTTGAGCATTTGAAAGTTTGTGGCTTAACTGCCTGGCCATTGGCCCAGGTGGTATAACTTTAGGGAGGTGAGGGTTAGAGCCCAATCGTGGGAATTTGAGTATAGGCTTGTGTGTGCACGGTCGTGTTTGTGTGTGTGCACGGTCGTGTTTGTGTGTGTGCAAGAATCTATCTAACCAGAGGAAAATAAAATAAAATAAGAAATTCTGGGACTTGCATCTAAATACTGGTGCAGAACTTTCAAATTAGACAACAAAAATAAATTCTAAAAGAATCGATAACAGCATTGTAGTTATGACATCTAATTTTCCCTCGGTAAAACACATATTTGAAGAAATTATTAAATAACAGGAGATATAAAAAAAATGGGAAGCACTTACATTCTTACGCCTGGAATCATTTGGAGGCACGACCTGAAACACATCCCCCCTGCAAAAAAGTTAAAAAAAAAAAAAAAAAAAAAAAAAAAAAAGAAAAAGAAAAAGATAAATATATTTATGATGCTTATTCACTCAGGTCATGCAGTTTAGCAAAAAACTAACAGGACAAATCCAATTAGTAATCCATGGGCAATATAAAGGTCCTTTGAACTGAAATTATACACAATATGTCCAAATTCTTAATAGTAGTACATGTGATTCAAAGAAGAACCCAGGCAAGAACCATGCATCAACAAAAGCCCCCCTTGGACCCCTCCCATTATTGTCCCTTCCGTCAATCAAATTGCCAAAGCAAGGTATAGGTAGGTACAAAAGAACTGACACCAGTGAGACTTCATGAGAAAAACTTGAAAAAGAATCAGACAACGACTAAGGATAAACCTTAATGTACAAGGATTGAGGAAGACCAATAACAAGAGCATGTAACTTCTTTTATATCTTTTGTCCTTTTAATCATCTCACCTTGTAGTCATATGTTACTCATATTCAAGCCCCAAGAAGAGTTAGCTTTCGTGAAACAAGCCATGAGACAAAAGCCTCAATAACAACCGATTTGGCAGAAATATAACAAAGAAATGAGTTCCACTTATTAAAACTTCAAGTTATAAGAAGCTTTAGCTCCTTCCGTATTAACACAACATTTTTAACCTTAAAAGGAATATAAATTCAGGGATTTCTTTTTTGTTTTTTTGTTTTTTTGACAGGTCAGTATATGTTTAATATTGAAATTGACAAATTCGTGAATGAACAAAACTTTCCCCTCCAAATGTATCAAAACAGCAACCAATATTGTATACTCCTAAATACACATTCAGTGTGGCCACAACAATGATACCATAACAAACTCACAGACTGAATACCCCCCAATAAATGTCTAAATTCTATGCAGCAAAGCACTGCAATCACATGGAATGATGCAGCAGTATACAGTTCATCTTTTACACATAATAAACATGCACGACATTAATACCTGTATCAGAGTGCTAGATATGTCTGAAAGGTATATAAATGGAATGTATTAGCAAACAGACACAAATTTTGTCTATATTCACAATAGCAGTTAACATAGCAGGGTCAGAAAAGCATGCAAAATCTTCTACAGGAAATTTTGAATTTAAATTGAAATCATAGGAGGGAGATAAGGCATACTTCTTAGAGATTAAGGTACACAATTTTTTGCCAAAATGAAGAGTAGAACGAGTAGAAGAGTGTCCGCCCTTTTGATTGCCATTTGAGAGAATGCGTTTGTCATCAGAAAGACTACTAGGGCACTGAAAAGATGATTGTCTTGAAGATGAACTGCTCTTGTGTCTTGCCCTTGTTGAAGACTGTCCCTTCTGTCTCATCTTCCGACGGTCACAGGGACTCAAAGTGAATTTTTTATCAAAGGCATTTACTGTCCTACAATCTGACTGTTAAATAAATAAATAAAGGGTTAAAAAAAAAAAAGATTTCTCAGTTAAAGCAGGCACAACAAATCAGGAAAAAACAGTTCTTGTTCAAAAAACCACCATACATTTTCCTCCAATTTTCTTTGAAAAATTGAGGTGAATGAGGACTGTGAAGGCGGAAGAGATGATGGAGCTTCCTGCTTAAAATCATCAGATACACCTACAGAACATGTTCAGGTCATAATTTGTACCCATTAAAGCAGATTTTGTGAATAAGAAATAGCAAAAGAAAGAGCACGCCCCCAACATATTTGTACTCGATTTTAACATCAATTACCGACAAAACACTTCATAGTAGAAACATAGTTTACTGAACCAGGAAAAAGAAGTAGAAGTTTCATCCCATGTGGCCAATTCTATATATTCCAGCCCAATTTAGAGGGCATACTGAAATTTTTTAATTTAGTACGGACCAAAATTTCTTCCCATTCCATCCATACAGCAAAGGCAACATCAAATTCAATATGGATCTAATTTGCAAACATCAAAACAAAGAATGTTTATATCATGTGATTATTCAAAAATCACATGTGCATGTCCATTGATTGTTCTCAAGAAAAAATCAGTGTTGGATTGGAAATTGCATTGGAAATGGGATTGGAACAACCATTTCATTCTCCCAAATCAGTCTCCCCTCAAGTCTTAGGTTTAGCCTAGATGAAGCTCAGATATGAATTGGCCTCTCTTTCTTTTACTACATGTTGCGTCAATCAAGTCCCTTTCGTCAGGTTTTTTTGTTATTGAGGTTCATTCTTATAGATCCATTCCCCCTTGTCAGACTTTCCTTCTGCAAGCTTCTTATTAATAGCTTTCTCAAGCTTGTTTAGTAGGGGAGAAGAAAAGTGAAATTTTTAAATATGTTCCAACAATGATTATCACCTCAAAAGGGGGAAAAAATAAAAACTGGGGCTCACCAAAACAATCACTTCAAAAGTAAGGGGATTTGAAGTCAAGTATAACACTAAAGTATAATATAGGAGCACCTTACAAATAAAGTAGGGTGGATTCCCATTCCTTCACTCAATTTCTTGTTTTCCACTCCCTCCCCATTAACAAATTAACAGAAGTGGTCAAGCCTAGTCTTCTCTTCTTCATTAATCTATTTTTTACCCCTTAAGCGATGAATTAAATGATCTGGAAGTAAATCAGCTTACAAAGGCTTCGATACTTGTCAAAACGAGAAGCGTAACCCTCATGAAGGGCACCCTTTCGAATCTTCCAACCTATTTTATGTCCCTCATTCAGATAGTGGCTTCAGTTCACAGGAGGCTAGACAAGCCTCAGAGAGATTTCCTTTGGGGTGGTATGGGAGATGAGTTCAAGTACCATTTGGTGGACTAGGAGATGGTGTGTACCCCCATTCAAACAGGAGGGCTGGGGATTAGGAGGTTGGATATGTTCAACAAAGCTTTGTTGGGCAAATGGCTTTGGAGATTTGGGAGGGAGAGATCCAGATTATGGAAGAGAGTCGTTGTTAGCCAGAAGGGAGGGGATGGATGAAATGAAATGAAATGAAAGCACTCTTGGACGGGGGCTTTTGATGTGTAATCTTTCTATCAGAGTTCCCTTTGGTTCCGATTCCTTAATTTCCTTAGAAGGCTATTTGGAGATATAGAAAGGCCCCCCAAAAGGTGGCTTTCTTTGTATGGTCAGCTTCTCTTGGGAGGATTTCGACCCTAGACAACCTCAGAAAAAGGAGACAATTTGTAGTTAATTGGTGTTGCATGCGCAAGAAAGCAGTCGTCTTTTGCATTGTCTGGTGGCGAGAGATGTTTGGGTCATGTTCTGGTGATTTTTGGTATGTTTTGGGTGTCTCCTAGTTCTACAATAGACATGATTGAGGCTTGGAGACGATGTACAGTGAAGAGCCGAGACAGAGACACTTGAAGGCCACTCTCCTTTGTATTTGATAGGGGTTGTGGCGTGAGAGAAATAGGGATCCTTAAATGGAGAGGAAACTCCCATTTGGCCTCTCAAATATAGCATTATGAGTTCTTTATTCTTTTGGAAAATTGGCGAAATTGTAAATCAATGGGGGATTTTTGTGAATTTTGTGGATAGCTCGGGTTTATAGATGGCCCTTGTTGACTATTCTTGTCTGTTCTTGGGAGCGCTCCCCCATTCAGCAATTTTTAATGAAAGCTTATAAAAAATTTAAATAAAAAAAGGTTACAAAGCGCACGGAGAGTAATAAATTTATGATGTATAACAGAACTAGTTTCGACTTTCAAGCATATTCTACAATTATACTCCTACTAACCTAACATTGAAAGAGATCAGCAGCCAAAAAGCCAACATAAAACTAGAAGGGCTTGATGATTTTAGGAAGAAAAGGCAATCTAAGTTTAAAATGGATTTCTTCATACATTAAGGTTAAAAATTGTGTAGTAAAAGAAATCATCTTGCACACAAGGGCATTCAAGGAAGGTTATGTGAGCCAGCACTTATTAAACCCCCCAGGCAAAGTGACTATAGTCAGCGTCACTTGGGCAATCTCCTTACTGCATCGAGTCATCGATTTTTCTCGCCAAAGTTTAACGCTTAATTGAAAAACAAAGTCAACAACTCCACATGGGGCAATTAGCATATTCTTATCAAGCCAATTTAAAGAGAGTCCATTCAACTCATCAATCCCCAGGGTACAAATGTTGGGCAGTTTAGAAGAATAAGATGACAATAGGAGTAGAAATATTAATAATAAATAAATAAATAAAAGAAATGAAAATCGTAAACAATAATTGCTCAAGGTTATGTCAAATAGTTCAAAGCAAGACATTCCTTTTTTCCTAGTTGAAATTGACACACCCACTTGCCCTTATAGGGATTTGAACCCTCGACTTTCTACTTTGAAAAGTGAGGAAGTACCACTAGGCTACATACCTTATATTTCAAAGCAAGATATTGGAAGTTATGAATACAGATTTGATGATAGTGATAAGAGTTTGCATGAAGATTTTGATGATGCTTGGAGCTATTTTTGGATGTTCACTATATTATTTTAATATATTTGGTTGTTTTGAAATCTGCAATATGAGCATGAGCTTTAATTTGGGATTCTTTTTCTTTAATGTGAACAAATTTGAGTATGAATGATATGCTTGTAACATATATTTTTAAAAGATTTTAATCACTCAAATGATTGCATAAGATAACCACCGATCTACTAAGTAGTATCAAGTTGAATTCTCAAACTATATGTTAATGCTCAATTCTCTCAAGAAAAATTATGATTAATTATAAATAGTCTTTAGCTGTCTTTATTAACAACTGAATTGAGACAGTTTTTGAGATATGAGAAAAGCGAAATAAACTTCTAATAACTCTCTCAATCCAGTGGTCAACAAAGAGCACTCATGGACCTTGTCATGAGAGGACGCTTGGCCAACACCTTTTGGTTGCGTCTCGCCTTGGTCAATTTGGAGTTTAAGCATTTGGAGGATGCCTTTCACATTTTGTCGATGATCATTGAGAATGACATGTTATCTCCAAATGCTCTAGTTAATAAATTTTTACTTCTTATTTTAAAAATGAAGTTCAAATCAAAGTATTCAATCAGCATTTCTAGCTTGAACGGAGACTCAGTTCCAAAAAAATCAACTGGATGACATTTAAACATATTGAAAGCCATCATGAAACTGAGTGTGCTATTGCTGATGGACAAAAGGGGGACACCAAGATTAAAGAAAATAAGTTATAAAATATCTAAAAAAAAAGATATAGTACATATGTATTTAATATGCTACTAAATCAATCAAAATCTCATTGACAAAACCTGGCTTAGATTGTGCAGACACCTCACATCCATCATCGTCCTGTTCAGTAAAAATCATAACAAATTACAGTCAAAATTTAGCATTAGATATTGCATTGATATACTAAAATCTAAAATGCACAAAGAAATCATGTTAAGGTGGCCTCATCTAATTTACAATTTACATCACAAAGAAATCATGTTAAGGTGTCCTGATCTAAATATTATTAGTTCCCAACTCAATAAGCATTAATTAAGTAAACATGTTTCAACAGAATTACTTATGAAGATAAAATGATATCTTCGACAAGATATTCATCTAGTTCTTTTTGTAAATCTCTTTCATTTAGGTTAGCAAATAACCATTTTCAGTTCATACGTAATCTTCTAGATAATGTGTATAAAATCGTAAAATAACACAGCACGAATAACACTTGTAAAGACGACCTAGAGATCTTTGTTGTGAAACTGAAGAAATCATTGCTAAATATGCACAGCATTCTGGATTATCGTGTTGCTGCAAAAGATGTAAAACCGCTTCAAAACGTGTGCAATCCATCGTTGGAAACATACGTGGTCATGTTATGCTGTGAGAATTCCCACTAAAACGTCACCTCACACAATAAGAGGCAAAAGAAAAAGAAATTTCGTCATAATATAATGACTCTCGTTATAGACTTGGATTATATGCTAAAAACGTTAACTTAATGAGTATTATAGCATGTCTACAATCGAACTACTTCTGACATCAACTGCCCCTACCACAAAACACCTATAATTCACTGCCAATATTGATCTTTACACGTCCGTCAGCAACCTTCAACCAATATGGATCCCAATCTTGTAAGTGTTCTTATGTATTCTATTGATGGGGCTTTCAAATTTCTTATTGTTAGCTCTCTTTTTTGTTGGGTTATGGGGAGAAGTTGTAAATCTATAGGAGGAGATAGTGATTTTTTGGGTTCTTAGGGCTATTTCTTGGCTTCAGCCGTTGTGTAGTTCCTGGGATGCATTCCCTGTTGAACGCTTTCTATTCATTTTGACTTTAAAATAAAAAAAATAAAAAGTGTTCTTATGTAGAGGAAATAAGTCTATAAGTTATTAGATACTGAAGAAACCAGGCAGTAGGGAGTTATTAGACAGATTTACTTCCAATCTGCAGCTCAACCTTGATGTTTCACCAAAATTAAAATATAATATGATCTATCACAGAATTCACACACACAGACATATAATTATTTGATGATTACAGCATTCTATAAAAGAGAGATGCAGTTAGCCAATCTTGCAGACATGACCTGTGTTTGACTAACTTGTAAAGCAAATGCTTACATGCCTGTACATTTCTATATGCACTCTTATGCTAAGTCAGGTACCTCTATGGTATCTCGACTCTTTCCTTGCCTTTTTTTTTTTTATCAAAATTGTCACCCTGTTTGAATTTACTTTCATACTCTCTCTCTCTCAAACTACTCAAATGTGGAGTGTGCACACTGCACTTTCTCTCAAACTATCTAAATGTGGCGTGTTCAGTGATATTAAAGGCTCAAGGCGCACCAAGGCGTTAGTGAAGTGAAGCGCACAATTGAAAATTTAAACTACCATAAAACTTCATATCTCATAAGTCATATCAATATTCTAAAAATTAATATCAAATATAAAAAAGTAAATCCATCAACTATACAAGCATCCAACAACCATAAAACAGACCACAAATTTGTTTTCTTGAAATGCAAAACAGAATTAGTTTTTTGAAAGGCAAAACAGAGCACAAAAAGAAACAAATCTGTTAATAAAAAAAAAAATGTTAACAAGAAAAGAAAAGAAATACAGTCAAAAAAAAAAACCGTAGAGACAGAAGAAGTAGATGAAGAGAGAGCAGTAGACGAGAAAAGAGAGAAAGTGTTAAAGAAGAAAAGGAGAAAAAGCAGAGCCCAAAAAAAAAAAAGACAGGGAAAGGAGAGAACTAGACGAAGAGAGAGATACAAAGATGAGAAGAGAGGAGAGAGAAGTAGAGGAGAAGGGAGAGAAGAAGAAAGAAAGAATTGTCATGGCTTCGTCGTTAGTCTCTGCAACTACGGCTTCGTCGTTCGTCTCACAGTCTCACTCTTTTTTTATAAGTAAAAGTGTATTAGAAAGCGTTCAAAAGGGGAACGCATCCCAAGAGCTATATAAATACCGAAGCCAAAAAAAAAGGGTCCTATGGACGCAAAGAATACAAAAAATCCACGATTTCATCTAAAGATATACAATTTCTCCCCATCACCCAACTAAAAAGATAACTAATAATAGAAAATTTCAACGCCCTAATGGAGAAATCCTCCCCATCAAAAGATCTTCTATTCCGTTCTTTCCAAAGACTCCACAAAACAAAGAAGGGGATCGCCCTCCAAGAGTCACGAGCATGAACCCCCACCCTGTGGCCCCTCCAAACGTCAATCAAGTCCGGGGCATAACTCATTGGACGCCAAACAGACCAAAAATAATACTCAAGCAGTAATGAGCCACAGGGCAATGCAAAATAAAGTGATCCACAGACTGTCCATCATTCTTACACAAACAACACTAGTTGACTGTAATCTGTCTTCTCTTTCTCAGATTGTCCAGAGTCAAAATCTTGCCCCACTGCAGTCCAAACAAAAAAAACTACCCAGAGAGAAAACTACCCTGAGAGGAGCCTTCGAACGCCAAACTGTTTTCCATAGGAAATTGAAACCGTGAAACCCAGAAAGGCAAAGAAAAAAACAATGGACCTGAAAAGTCCCCTGCAAAAGAAGGCACCCAAGTAAAGGAATCCGAACCAGTACCATCCGCCTCCTCCTGCCTATACAAAAGGTCCAGCAAGCCAGTCACGTCATCCAACTCCTAATCCTGAAAGTCACGTCGTCCAATTCCTAATCTTGAAAGGATCGCCGGAATCGCACATCCCAAGAAAAACCTACCGCTGTCGAATCGATAACAGTCAGCAACCAAAGCATGTCAATCAACAGCAATCCTGAACAACCTTGGGAACAAACAAGACAATGGGCAATCCTCGCACCAAGCATCCTCCTAAAACCGGATGTCCCTTCCCTCCCGAACTCTGAATCTAATGTGCTTAGAGAACTCATCCCACCCCTCCCGAATGAATTTTCACACTCCCACGCCGACATCAGACCTAACCGGCCTAGATGACCGTCCCCCTCTCTCCTACCCAAAGCGACACAAAATAACCCTCCTACATAACCTATGCCTTTCGCTACCGAATCTCCATAACCACTTGCCAAGGAGCGCTCTGTTGAAAGGGGCCAACCTCCTAACCCCAAGACTGCCCAATTGAAAAGGCTTGCAAACTAACACTTGACTCTTGGGCTTTCTTATTGTTTATTCTTTTGAGCACAAGGTCCTTCTCTCATACGCTTGGGCTCTCTTATTTGTTGAATAAGTTGCCAAAAGTACCCTTTTTGGCTTAAGAAATAGAGTAATCATTTTTTAAAAAAAACTAAAAAATCAGTGAGGCGCACCTGACAAACAGGACGAGGCGCGCACCTAGAGCCTAGGCGCGCCTTTAACAACACTAGGCGTGTTCAATCACCTACTATTCATGAATGAAAACGGAGGTATCTAAGGAAATGGGAAAGAAGATCAAATTGGCTGCTCAATCTAATCACATATATTAGTTGGTCCACAAGACTTGCTAACAAACAGCAAGTATAGCAATTTCTTTAATTCGTCATGTGATAGTATTGAACCCAGTGGTCAGCTCAAACTCAATAAATATTATATAGAAAAAGAGGAAAAATAAAACAAAGTCCATTAATATATTTTAAATAGAAAAAGAGGAAAAATGAACCAAAGGTTTTGTGACATTCATAGTGTATCAGGACATATATGGGAGATTTAGAGCACATGAAACTATGATGTTGTGGCCTGAATTTTTTTTTGGCCCGGGTCAACGGGCCCAATTTTCAGGTCTTGAACCCCGTTTAGGACTAAGAGTGTTTAGGGTTTGGAGTGGGATATGAGAGAAAGAGAGTAAGAGAGAGAACTAGGGTTTGGCGGCTGAAATTTGTAATCTTCTTATTTTCGTATAGTGAAATCTTTCATTGGACCTTTACCATGGATGTAGGCTTTACTTTTCTGAGTGATTCTTGATTTGTGGCGTTTGTGGTAAAAAAAATCCACCACAATAGGTTCCTTTCTAGGAATCTAAACCCTTACCTTGAATAAATGGTTAAATAACAAACATTTTATATTTTTTGAGCTACATGTGAATCCAAAGAGAACTAAGGCCAAACTATGAGGGTTCGTTGTCTGATTCAGCTCAGTGCCATTCGTGCTCACTTTGTGAAATATGAAAGATTAGGTCCAAACTGTGTTCCCACAAACAGCAAATAATCATGTTCACATCCAAACATGCATGAAATTAATATATAATTATATATGTGTGTGCCGATATATGTCGATTTTTTTGTAACATATATGATAGAAATTTATATTCATAAAATTCATACAGAAAGTGCAGCACCTTCTCGAGTCGGAGCCGTTGCCGGCGCTCCCTCTCGTATTGGAGGAGCTTGAGTCTGGCCCTAAGCTTCTCTCCCTTGTCGGGCAATTTCTCACTAAATTTATCAATGTTGACCCTTATTCGGGAAATGTCGTCGTTCAGTTCTCTATCCCCCAATCGTTCGAATTCGAACCTCTGAGAGTCCTGCAATTCCTCGCCGTCCATCGCCGCCGCCGACGGCGGTTGTGAGGTAGTGGTGGTGGTGGTGGTGACCTCCAGTACAGGCGGAGGGTCGTCGTCACCGCTGCGGGGCATTATTTGTTCCCAGTCAAGGTCTAACCGTCTTTTCTTCTCACTAACTTCTTCCATGCATGTAGCTGTATATGTATGTGTATTTGTGTGTGTATTATATGCAAATAGTACACAGACACACTCCTTTTGCACGATCAGACGCTTTCAGCTCTCGCAGCTCTCTCTCTCTACAATGACGGTGAGGAGAGAGAAAGTAGACCATTGAAAAGGGGAAAATCAAACAGTGTAAGGAGGTTATATTTAAGGCTGCAAATAAACCGAACTGTTAAATTACTCCGTTAGAATTCTAGAACTAAACTAGAATTAAATTTTGGGCTCATATTTTATAAACTTGTTTAGTTCTGGTTTAATTTAAAAGTTCCTATATTTTAGATTTTTATATTAAAATTTGGTCCACTAGAGCCCAAACACTTGATTCAAAAAGTCCAATTATTTAACAATCAGCCCATTAACTCATGTGTAAATAAGAGTCCATTAACTCCTATGTAAACAGTATAATTGAACTTATATGACATTCTGTGCTCCATTTTGTAACTTTTTTAGTTGTTATCTAGCAGTAATTATTTATTTATTTATTATTATTATTATTTTTTAGCCTCTAATGATATGATAATTATGGTCTTCATCTATTGGAGAAAAATGAAAATGTCATATGTATGTTGTTTTAGGAATTCAATTCCATCACTGGGGAAATTTAGCAATCTCTCTAAGTTTATGGCATTGTGTCATTACTTTTTTGGGTGTGCAGGACACGGACAAATCAAACAAGAGAATGGAAATGGTGATTCCATTCTATGTTAGCAACCAAACAGTGGAATAAGAATGGTCATTTCTTTCATTCCATTCCTGCCTCATTTCATTCATCCACATCAAACTAGTTTTAAGGTGATATTTTATAAAATTAGAAATTCTAAGAGTTTGAAGTATGTAAGTGGTAATATAAAATTTGTAATTTTTGTATTTTATAAACAACGTTTACCATTTTAAACATCATTCTCCTTAAAGATACAAGCTATTATTGCTCTTATTATCGACATCTCTTTCCGATGACCAGTCGAGAGATCTCACTCGAATAGCAATTACAACGTTAGCCGTGTTCTCTTCTGGATTGCCATTTTTTCAATTTCATTTGTACAGTTAGTGTTGATGGAATCAGGTGTGAGAATGAAAAACAAGGATTGATGATAGAGAAAATGTTGATTTCCTGCCGTGCAAGCTTGAGCCGAGACGATCTCGAGCTTGTTGAATCACCGGGAACCAAGCTCGGTATTTGCCAAAACGAGTTCAAACCACCCAAAACCTGACTCAATTCATTTGCACCCAATTACAATTTTGACTTGCATACTCCGTTACATTAAAGTAAATGATAAATGGTTCGAATCGAACTTTGTGGGACCCACCACAGCTATTTGAACTTGCAACCATTCAAACTGGGAATATTTCTCACAGTACAAATCAACTAATCAGTCATCAAGAACAAGAACTTGTAAAGAATTGTGTAGCAATTGTGAGAAATGTACCAGAAAGTGAAGAGATTGAAAACTGCAATACAACAGTAATATCATGTCATTTTACTATCACGATATCACCAACTATTTAAAGCTTAACACGTGCGAAATTTAGCTAATAAATGCATGATTTCATAAAATTAACTGAATTAGGGTGGTTTGGGGGTGACATGGACATGAATTTGAAGTGTGTGGTGTAAAATGAATGGATTTACTAGAATTCGAGAATCCAAATCGCTGTAAAATATATTGTATCAGATTGTCTGATAATTTAAATGTGGCTTCAACCTAAAAATGCAGCACAACTTGCAAGAACTAATCCAATTCCAACATATGCCAATGCTAACATAGCTTTACCAAGACAAAATATTTCTCTATAACAATGAAAACAAAATAGTGGGAAATAATAAAATTGATGACACCCTATACTGTCGGGTGCTCACACAACTATGGAGCCCACGACAGCTGTTGTGGTGTGAAGCCATGCTTTGTGAGACTACACGGCTCCAAAATAGATCTCACTCATCACCATATTACATTTCATATGCATCTGTACCATGCAATCAGCTCAACCACTAATCCCACTTGATACAGAACACTTCATAGTGGCTATATCATAAGTTGTTCCACTCATCCACTGTTCAAAGTAGACTACTGCTACGGTACACTTGATATTACTACGGTTGCCCCACTGAAAAACAAATGGGGACCATTTGGAATTTGCATGCTTGATTATTAGTGTAACTCACTTATTCTAAACAATGTATTGCTCCCAATGATGATCAAACCAAGAGAAAAGCTAACAGGCCTCCCAAGACAAGAACAAGCAAAAATCCAACCTTTAAGTCATACAAATCCCAAATGTGAATGAGCACAGGTTTGGTTCCTAGAGAGAAATTTTTAGATGGTCCGGGCAATCACAACTCGACATGCAAGCAAATGTGTCAGCTCTCTTCAGATTTTTCTTTGCGTGTCAGATTGTGATTGGCCGGGACCATGTACCCTCGGACCATGTAATAATTTCCCGGACTCCTATTTACCTGCATCTAACTTAGTATGAAAGCCAATTTTAGGAATTACAATCTAAAATTTCCAAAAGTTGGGTGGGTTCTGCAATAGCACAAAATAACCCAACCTTTTGATCTTACCATAGCCAGGTTTCGAGGAAACCTGATCTACTGTCGGATGGCAAATATCCCAGCTGATCGAGCTGGATCTAAGTGCCATTTGACATCATACAGTGATTCACAGACTGGCAAGAAACCTAACCTCGACATTTCCCATGAAATTGTACGAAGATTGGAGGAGAATGAAATGCAAGAATGACCGAGACATTTATCATTGAATTGAGATATATATTGAACTACACCTGTCAGGTTCACATTCTTTCTTTTTTACATCAGATTGATTCATTTGTATGCAGATATGGATGTTGTTGCTCTTCAGAAGATGACACCAAATTCTCCAGTTAACCGATGCCAATTGCAGAAGCCAACTGCAGCTGAAGTCGATTCTGAATCGCCATCCAGTATCTGTGTCAGTGTATCAGCATTGCCTCATATATACAGAGAAGGACCGGCCATGGCAGCAGATGTCCGCATGCCTTCCAACTTCAGGGTCAAATCCACTGACCGGCATACAGCATTGTAAAGTTAGAACGAAGGTACACATTTGAACGCTTGAACCTGCTTTTGATTCACATGCCACAAACACGGAGTAAACTTGGATGAAGTTTCCCACAATGATAGAAGCATGTTTGAAAGGTCAGCCCCCTGAATCTTTCTTCCTCCTGCTAGGTCTGCTTCTTGGTTTTGGATTAACAGTTATATCCGACTCATGGGACTTTTGGACCTGCGGGCTGCCTGGCTTCAGGTTGTCTGTTGGATCTGATATGGGAGAATCTTCTTTGTTTGACTTGCAATCTGGCTTCAGAATCTCTATTGAATCCAAGCTGGGCAAAGGTTTCTCATATATAATGGCAGCATCCAAGGTGTATAAAAGGAGAGCAAGGGCGGAGAGAGTAGAAATTTTGGCGGCAGCTGAATGTGATGACCAATACCACCAATCATTTTTTAGGTACTCGGGTTTAATCATGTTCTCGAGTATGATTGTCGCTAGAACCATCTGAAGGACCAATTGAAAGTTAAACTTGTTTCAGAAGTTGCATGAAATAGATGGAGCACATGTTTGAAAAAAAAAAAGGGGGTTTAAATAGCTAAATTTATAAGAGAAGTCATTGAAAGATCATTCTCAATGGCAAAAACTCTCTGTAAAACTATGTTTTATTATGTTTACTTGTAGTCTGAGGAGGGACATTTAAAGTAATCAACAACAGACCAGGAACAATGGCTGTTTGAGTTGTGATGGCATTTCTACTTCGAGTGCAAATTTTCCGCTAGTTATTCTATGTCAGAAAGTTCTGCCGTGTAAACAGCAACGATTGGCACTAAATTTCATATAAAGAAAACACAAGAAAGGGATAGAGACTACCTTAGACCATAAAATCTCCACCTTAAAAGTATACTTGATCAAGAGTCCGCCAACTCAACTTACACAAGTTCAGAAGACAGAACAGCACTATGGCAGCACAGAAGTTTATTATTGCCACTTGCAAATATCCAAGCAAGTCAAAGTTCAACTTAATATATCTTCTCACCTATTAAGCTAACATCACTACTTTGTCAAATAAGCATTTTTAGTGAAGACAAGTTTTGGTCCTTTTCCCCCCAGAAGTAGCTTTGATCTGACAAAGGTTGATATTGGCACAAGAATAGAATAATATAAAAGATAAACACTAACATGCTAGACAATAAATGTAAAAAGAATAAAGATACTATGAGAAAAAAGAACACAGAAATAGTGAATATCCCATATTTTTACTACATATCATCTTAGGGCTCTGACATTGACATTTGGTATGAATATTCAATCACAGAGCTTCAGTTAGGATGCACCATGACAGACAGCATTTTGATAAAGTGCTTTTCAATAGAATCTAAATTCATGCAAAATAAGAACGAGGACAAGAAGATATTTCTTGCACTAAAAATCTAAAACTAGTTTGATTATGGCAACTTATAAAAAAATAAAAATAAAAATAAAAAAAGAATAGAAAAAAGAGAGAGAGAGAGAGAGAGAGAGAGATATAAGACTAACCTCATAGATTGACCTTGCAGATTTTACAAACGCTCGCCAGGAACATCTTTTTTCCCAGTGTGCCATTGATGGTCTCACAGCTTCTTCAGGAAGGGCAGCATCCATGTCAAGCAAGTTGATTTTCAGCCGCCTTAGAATTTGAAAAACCTTGCCCACTACTAATGGTCTTAATGAGGATTCACGAATTATGCAGCAATTACCTACCCCAATCACTGAACTTCTGTTTTTTCGTGAAGAGAATCTCTCCTTTCCATTCACATAATTAGGTTTCAATATCTCAGATTTTGATGCTTCCCCATCTTTGCCATTTTCAGCACATCTTGGTAAATTGTTGGAAATGTTATTGTAGTTCCTGGAAGCTCCAATACTGGTCCCTTCAATTGATTTTTGAAGCTGATTTTCCAAATTTGAAGATCCATCACCAGCCATAACCTCTTTTTGCCTGGTAGGGACCATCGATAAGGTGGGGTCATCAAGATAAGGAGATATGGTTGGTACAAATGATGGATTGCCATTAGAAGCAATAAGGCCTACATCTCTTACCATCTCTTTTAGAGAACCTTGAGGGGCAAACTTAGCACGGATCTTGTCAAAATCAAAGGGACATTCTGGCTCCTTCTGAAACTGAATCAAATTGGAGCCAAGCTCATGCTTTTCACTTTTTGATGCTCCAACAATTCTTGTGCCATCAGCAGGCTCCTCAAGTGAGGTTTCAGTCCCCATCGATCGCTTCTGCTTTGAGGAATCCTCATTTACCTTGCTCTTGTCTGTGACAGGTGCATTCGTACTGCATGTTCCATCATTATGGCCCTCTAGTTCCTCGCGAGTGGAAAACATATGGTGGCATGACATGCAATGGTGTCTAGAAGGCCATATAGGTTCTAGGCACTCACACCTGTACATTCTCCCCTCATAGATTACTTTTGTCTTTCGACCCCGCTTCTTTGGGATGTTAGCGGCATCTAGTTCCAAGCAAGGACCATACCTCTTTTCCAAAGCACTGACAGCCTTGGTCACCAGGAAACTAGAATCCACAGCTTTTCCGGTATCAGTGGGCTTTAATTGACATGGTTGTTTCTCATTTTGAACATTATTTTTAGACTTATTGAAGTCATTGGATTTAATTTTCTGCCAATTCAAAATGGACTCTTTCAAATCTCTCTCTCTTGCATCATCATCTCTCAGCCAGCCAATGAGTGCTTCAATTTCAGTATCAGATTGATAAGAAATCCATGTGGACACGGGAATGCCATTTGGATTCTCAAGCACGTTCATTTTACTCCATTGCTCTGTCATATTCTCATTAACAACCAACTGTGAACAAGTACCAGGACTGCCAAAAACCCAGTACAGTCGGCCAGCAGAGTCCCTTCCTAAACATTCCTTACGAATGGATACCTTTAGAAGTTCTGATTCTAGATGGGCAAATGACTTCTGCAAAACAGAAATCTCATCCTTGAGGGAGCTCATCTCAAGGTTGTACGCTTGGGAAACATGCAAACCAACTTGGACAGAGGAATGATTGCCATGCATTACTGAGTTCATGTCGATATAAGGCTTATGCTCAGCCATATGGGGGTTAATGGAGTCAGATGAGATGCCACACTGTGGAACTTGACTAGTAGTAAGCATGGAACCTTTACTACTACTACCACTACTACTATGTCTTAACTCCTGCTGTGTGCCAGAATTACTCCAGGCATTTTCTCCACTCAAGTCATTTTTCTGTTGCGGAGGAATAGACTGGGTGAGCTCATTATGAGAGTTGGCTCCTTTTGCAGAAGAACGTGTTTGAGAAAAAAGATTATCGTACACTAGATTTTGATCCTTCATAGGCTGCTGATATTGTAATTGACCAACTGTATCACAAAGAGTAAAAATTTGATTTCTACTACTGGTACTAGCATTCTCTGAAATGCTTTTTGAAAAAGACAGTTGTTTTCTGTAATCATTTGGCACATTCCACTGTGGACAATCCTCTGACTGTGCAAAACTACCAGAAAAGGATGAAATATAGCTGCTTCCACTAGGCAACTGCCCCATCAATTTACCATCATTCACAGAAGTGTACCCATCTGAACCCACTCCAACTCCATTATGCATATTCATGTTTACTTTCGCCAAATTTGCAGCTAGAATTTCTTCTCTGAGTTTTAGGATTTTCCACTCTGAAGAGATGGTACGCAGTTTCTGCTGCAAATCAGTGGATGCAGAGGCACACCGATCTAGGTGGTTGCGAATAACAACCGAGTTTAGAGCCTCATCACACAAAAATTTCAGAAGTAAAATTCTCTGCATCAAAGGCAAAAGCAGACTTAGCCCAATAAAAGTGGAAAAAAGACGGATAAAAAAGATTACAAAATACAACTCATATACAACGTTTTCCTTGCACACGACAAACTATTTGACGCTTGACAAACTGTCACAACAAAGGTCAGCCTCCACAATAACAGGGAATATATTCTTAGCCATGAGAAAAGACAGCAGAGTTCTGAAAGATAGTTGTCTAGGATAGATATCATTGATTCGTCTCTATCACAAAAAAAGGAGGGGGGGATACAGGGTTGAATCATAGTTCGATGCATACGAAGAAAAACAAGCTATGAATGGTGTGTGAAGGCATAACCCTATACCATATTGAAGTCAAAACTGAATGACAATACTGGTTAATGACTAAGAGCAGTATAAAAACCCAGCTTACTAAAAATAAAATGATCAAATACAAACATAACCAAGGTAGCAGTTTTCAATGCAGAAATTTTCATAAATGTGACCAGATCAACCTTTATTAAACATAAGTATAGGAAATGTACAATGTGGTAGACAAACAAACCTCTTCCACACTGAACTCCCAGTACTCTTTTAACTCCATAGTGTTTGCTAAGCGGGCCAGTGCCTCCAAAAAGTTACGAGTAAGTTCTCCCTGATATCGCTTTTTACGGTACTGGCTAATTACCTGAGTACCACAGGGTACACTTTGAGAAATGAATTCACCAGCAACACAAGAAGGACAATACCAGTTTCCTTCAGGAATTTTTGCAAGTGGAGGGTTTAGGCAATACGTATGATACTCAGAATCACAAGTATCACACAACAGAACATAGTCATCATCTTTATCTATGCCACATACTTTGCAAACCCCGTCATCCCAGGGAGCTTTGGGAAGTGAGCTCTCATTTGCACATACAAGCATATCAACCATCTCTTTCTTTGTTTCATCACTTGAACATTCAAAATCACCACTGTCCATGAGTTTCTGAACCAGAGTAAGAACCTGGAGAAGGAAATAAATACGTTAAAACTCAAAGAGAGAACAAAGCATTTAGCGTTACATTTGGAGGGCATCTGATGGTACATAATGAAGCCGCACAACACCAAAATATAATTTTCAGCCATTCTAGACCATGACAACTCAAGGAACCAATTATCAATATATATACTCATAACTGATGTAATCAAATAGTTGGCGAAAGAGATCCACATGCTAGACATGGACCTAAAGATCTGACTATTTACTGAAACAATAAAGAAAAATATTTTCAAGACAAAGTTCTTTTTCTTTCAAAGGGTCAGGTCCTCAATTATGCTAAACCCTTCTCTATCTCTATCTATCTCATGCAGAGTATGCTAACAATAAAAGAGACATATTGAAATTTTACATAGCGCATGATTTGTACATTGTGTAATCAGTTTAGTTGAGGATATTTTGGTAATTCAAATTTTACTGGACATGTGTCATAAGTCATTGTCCATGGATCTTATTTTGTATCAAACTATGCAATTTGCCTTTTATAAATGGTACTTACTAGGTCTAGACTAGTCCGAGTTACAAGAAAGTTCTTTATTTTTGAAGTCAAAATCAAAATAGGAGTACAACGAAATCAGCATCCAGCAACCTATAAATAGTTTGGTTATAAACATGCCACACAAAAAGAATACAAAGATTTACATGGTTTGGCAAAGCCTACGTCCACACGGTGAAGATCCAATGAAAGAATTCAGTATGCGAAAACCTGGAGATTACAAGTTTCAACCCCCCAAACCGTAGCTCTCACTCTCACACTCACTCTCTTTTCTGTGATTTTCAATGTCTCAATATCCCACTCCAAACCCTAAACGCCCTTATATATCAGGCTACAAGAGAGTACTAAACAGGGTCCACAACCCACAAGCAAAAAGGGGCTTGGGCCCACACAAAGCTCAATCAACGGGTCGTTGGGTCAAAAACCTTTGGCAACGCGACCCAGAACCAAATTCAAGCCACAACATCACAAGTTTGAAAATTTTTCTATTCAAAATAGTGGACTCTATGAAAATCTAAGATTGTTTGATTACATAAAATCTGTAACAAGATAGTTAATAAGTCATTCAAAATGATGAAACAATCATACCCCAAACAAGCCTTTAATAGAGCATCACAAGCCAGTACCATGAAATCAAAGAAATATATGATAAGAGCCAGTATCATGCCGGTGTACTTATTTGCAGTTCTTCCTTTTTGTCTTCAGTAAAACTTTTATAGTTTCTTATTTAAGAAAAATTTTCAACTGTTATTTTAGAATTTTTTTTTGATAAGTAAAGTAGTGTATTTTGGTAGAAAATAGTATACATATTTTTTTTTTTTTTCCTTAGTTGGTACTCACACACACTTGTCTTTTCTAAAACTTGAACCCTGACCTTCCCTTTGGAAAGTAAGAGGCTGATAGCGCTAGGCCACTGGCCCGTTATTTTAGAATTCCATAAAAAAGAGACGTTTTAGGATGATAGTTTTTAAACAATAAGGTTTCCTAAGTCAGCATCCATTTTCACGAGTCTCTACAAGCAAGCCTGTCCTTTCAATGCTTGAGATACACAAGGAAAATCAGAAAAGCAGATAAGTTGTTTTGACATGAAGGTTAACATTGGCAGAAACTAAAGAACAAAAAGGAAACAGAGTGGTACTCACAAACCTCTTTTTCATACAGAGATTCAAAATTTTGGGATAGTGTTTCAGCCAAATCAATCAAATCAGACCGATCCCCATATGCAGTGCGTATATTACGCCAAACCTGGAAAAGAACATAAGAGTTAGTGATCTTGACAGTTCAACGTAGGTTACACATAAACAACTATTGTGAGCTATATCAATTGTCAAAACTTATGAAGCATTATTGACATGACCCCAATCCTAATATCTAGGTTGAGGTACAATTAACTTTTCGGACATAATTCATCGGTTGCCCTTCCTCTCACTTTTACCTAAGTCAAGATCGTTGTCACATCCTAATACTCTTTCTCTATGATCAAGTAGTGATCTTGACAGTTCAGCGTACATTACACATAAACAACTATTGTGAGCTATATCAATTGTCAAAACTTATAAAGCATTATTGACATGGCCCCAATCCTAATATCTAGGTTGAGGTACAATTAACTTTTTGGACATATTTCATCGGTTGCCCTTCCTCTCACTTTTACCTAAGTCCTGATCGTTGTCACAGCCTAATACTCTTTCTCTATGATCAAGTAATGATGCTGTCTAAGAGTTTCCAAAACATCAATTTTAAATTAATTGGTTGATCAAAAAGTACAACAGTGCCATTTGTGCTTCACATAAATCCCACATAACCTCAAATGTCTCCTACATTCCCATTCTAGAATCTGTTCTGTCTTCACCAGTACACTGCACAACTAGTCAGTCGATTCCAAACTTCGACAATCAACATGTACAGTTTATGAAATCCTCTCTCAATACTGTTTCATATCTTTTCACTTATAAACTTGAAATATTATAAAGACTTGCAGGACAAGCAACCAGTAAAATGTCTTGGGAAAAAAATAATGATTAAATGTGAGCAAAGAATATACAGTCCAATCAGAAGAAGTAGAAGAAAGCATACCTCCCGAACATCATCTAGAAAAGCTTCATGTGATCCACCATAGGACCCAGCAGCCAGTCTCATATCAATGGTCCTGAAGTCTAAAGGACGAGATACCATTGCAGGAAAACCAAGAAGTCCCTCGTCGTCATTGTCACTAGAATTCAGAAATGTTCTTCCCAAAAGATTGCAGAAGACTCTTTCTTCATCTGCAGCAGCAGCACGCCGTAGCACAATACGACATTTCTTCATAATTAAATCAATTGTGTTGACACACTTCCTTTTTTCTTTCTTATCAGGTTTGCGCTGCGGAATTTCACGGCTCACTTCTGCCAGCAATGAGATAACAGCTCTCTGTACTCCATCAATGGTTCAATGAAATAACTCAGTATTTTGAATATTCATAAATATAACTCATTTGAGGAAGTAATGTATAGAAATTGTACGAAACAACAAACTATTCTTTGGCAGTTGGTTGACAAAAAAATACGAGAACAGCGAGGAGGAGGAGGAGGGGGGGGGGGGGGGGTTGTGGGGCGGCCATTTCTAAATACCACCATGTTCACATTAAATAACTGGCTCTCTCGTCTCAACAAAAAACAGAAGGAAATCTGTTTCTCATATTGTCAACAGCAGTTCAAAAAATGCAATACACAGAATTCCAAATATATAAATATCAAACATAAGGAAATGCTTGATGGGAAAGGTCTAGTATACCACACCAAAATTTCCAAACAAGCATAAAACAGGAACAGGACACCGGCACCATTATCAGCTACAGACATGTGAAGATTTGATCAAACAAACAAAGAGTAATAAAAATATATATATCATTGCCATAAAAATGGGGATTCAACTCAATTTTTTTGGTCATATCTAATAATAATAATAATAAATAAAATAAAAATAAAATAAAATAAAATAAAATAAAGATGAAAAAGAAAGAAAGAAAGAAACTCAACGTGTATATAATTGGGGAGTTGGGCGGTTTGGAGAGCTGCAAAAATTGGATTCATCAGTCAACTATGTGATTTATACTTTCCACGGGAAAAAAGGGAGATGACTCTGCTAACTTCACCCTACAAACCGAACCATCTTTTATTGGACTCACAATTCATGCTGGCCAACCAAATTCTGAGTGCCTAATTGGCTGGCTGTCACTAGCTTTCCCAAACATAAAATGCGTTGCAAAAATGAACCTTATGCTGTCCACGTTAATTTATTAGATAATATTTTGACAAATGGTTAAGAAGAAACAATGAATGTACCTTCGTAGGACCTGATGCATTCCCCTTGTAAACTTCCTTGCTAATGGAATGCTCCAGTATCTTTTTTGCCCATTCTGGAGGACTTTTTGCTAAAGCACTGTAGATACACTTCCTAATTCTTGCCCCTACATTTGTGGGTAGCTTCCTTACAGGTTCTAGCACCTGCGCCCACTCAGGGACTTCACCATCATTCACATTAACTATCTTCGAATCATCAACTGCATCAGGCTCCTTCTCATCTAGGCCAATAACAACATTCTTACTCTTTGCTGAACCAATGATTTTCTTTGTGGCCTCTGCAAGAAGCTGAGAATTACATAAATTAGTGCATCATTATTCAAAAAGAAATTTCTGTTTAATTAAATAAATCAATTATAGAAGTTACAAAAGTTCTAGTGAATTACAGAACTGCAACATAGATCAAATGCAAATTCTACAAGAAGTCAACTGTTATGCAGGAGATTCAAAATAACTTATATCAGGCACATTACAAAGAGAATTTCAGACCAGCTCGATATATAGAAGAGAAAACCAGATAGATGGAAATGGAAAGCTTAATTTAATTATAAAAATACAAAGAAAAAAGAAAGCAAACATAAAATTACAATCCAGATTAAAATTTTAATAAGAAAAAATGAGACAAAAGGAGAAAGAAAAATGAAATAAAACAGAACACATATGAAGCACGGATACTTTAATAAAAGGGGAGTTATCATTTCCGTGTCAGATAACGACACTCCTCACATACTCGTGGATTGTGTCCTGTACTTCCTAAATGTATCTCTAATTTGAGAATCATCTTTTTATTCTAACACGTATCCGATACTTCTCAGATACCTCGGCCACATATCAAATACTTCTCATTTACTTTAAGACACATTTAAAAACTCTTAAACATTAAAATATAATATTTTTCAAGTATAAGATCAAAGCATAATTGTTAAGAGACGTATCGTATTTCTTCAAACAGACGTATTGATATATATATATATATCACGACTAATTTAGTCTAAAATCCATCCATGATTTTACTCTCAGCTCTCAGTTTATTTAACATAATTTTTTTATTAAAAAATAATAATAATACTAATAAATAGCATGACAACAATTATAAATTTAGATGTAAATAAGGAAATATATATATTAAAGTTTTATACATATCTACAAGATACAATATATATTGTTGTTTTCTTGACGTATTCATGTCTTACTTTTTAAGCATTTGTCGTATCGTCGTATCAATACCATGTCATGCCGAATCTTGTATCTGTGTCCATGCTTCATTGCAGAACACTATGTGACTAAAAAATAATCCTATAACCAAACATCACTAGTTTTTCCAAACCAGAAACCATACGAGTCTGAAAACACCAGAATGGCATAATTAGGCCAGTGAAAAATTGAGGCAGTTGTTCAACAGTTATAAAACACAACCTCTTGAGAAACTTAAATAAGAACTATTTTAGGAAGTTAACATGCATAAAATAAATCAGGTTGGTAAAAATTTAAGTAATTACTAAAGTTGGTCTTCTTTTCTTTCGATTAGTTAGATTTCATTACGAGAGCTCAAAAGGAGAATGCACCAAAAGATAAACAAAAGCCATTCAAGGGCCCATTAGACATAAAATCCTATACAATCAAGCTATCAAAAAACTACTTCACTAAGGATTTACAACTCCTCCCTTTCGCCAAAAAGAATAAAGAATCAATATATTTTAATGTCGGAGTAGGAGTTTCCTACCCATTGAATGACCTCCTATTCCTCTCACGCCACAAAACCCCACACATAGGGGTAATTTGACAAGCATCCCCAGCTGCAAAACCCATTATACATCCCCTCTAAGACTCAAGCATGCTCCTCGTGGAACTAGGCAACACCCATTGGACTCCGAAAAGAGCGAAGAACATGGTCCACACATCTCTAGCCACTGCACAGTGTAGGAGAGTGATCCACTCTCTTCATCCCTCTTGCACATGCAACACCAGTTCTTTTCTCTCTCTCTCTCTTTTTTTTTTTTTTGGTGTGATAAGTAAGAATACATGCAACACCAGTTCATCATGATATGCCTCCTCTTCCGTAGATTATCGATCCTCAAAACCCTCACAAAAGCAGTCGTCCATCCAGAGAAAGCCACCTTAGAGGGGGCTTTGGCACACCTGTAAGCTCACACCTCAAATCTACCATGTTTGGAATCCCCCCAACACCACTTGTTCACTCCCTCGGAGAAATGGCAGTATAGTAATAGCATTACCTCAAAAGAAATGAAATTTGTTTCACACGTACCCTTAAGTTTCCATGCATGTAACTTTCTTACAGATGATAGCATTTTTACAGCAAACAATTTTTCATAAACAGACCAAAGCCATTAGAGGTAATACAATGCGTTATAGTAGAAATAAAAAAAGAAGAAAAATGAGAGAATTGTGTAAAGGCTTGAATGAGATGTATAATATGTAAAGGCTTATATGATATTTAATCACTCATTCACAGCTCGTATTTATACATAAAATAACAGCCCATGCTCATATTACAAGAAAGGAAACTAAATCAAATCTCTGTTAATATGGTAAATCATTCCATAAATCATGGCTATCATATATGCTAACATATGCATAATCAAATCTCTGCTAATATGGTAAGTCATTCCATAAATCATGGCTATCATATACGCCAACACTCCCTCTCAAGTTGGTGCGTGAATATCTAAAATGCCCAACTTGGAAAATGCATTTTCAAACACAATCTTACCGACGCCCTTTGTAAGAATGTTTGCAAGCTGCTGAGAGCTTGTGACAAATGGAGTGCAAATCTGACTAGCGATGATTTTCTCTCAGATGAAGTGACAATCAACAAATCAAAAATGTCTCCTTAGACAACAAACAATTAACAATGTCTCCTCAGACCATAAACAACCAATCATGTCTCCTCAGACCGTAAACATCCAACAATGTCTCCTCAGACCGTAATCAACCAATCATGTCTTGTCAGACTATAAACAACCAACAATGTTTCCTCAAACCATTTCCCTTCACACACGTGTTTAACCATTCCCCTTCGTTCATATGTTTAAACAATGTAGATGAGAGAATCAACAATGTCTCCTCAGACCATAAAAAAGAAACAACTATGTCTGCTCAGACCATTTATGAATGGGTGGTGCCAAACTCGCAACGCCCTCATTGAGGTCAGACCACCTGCCTACCCAGCACCTCCCGGATGGGCGATGTCACCTTAGACCATTCCCGAATGGGTGGTACCGACTCGCAATGCCCTCATTGCAGTCGGACCACCCTAGCTCTGATACCAAGTAGAAATATAAAAAGAAAAATAATGAGAGAATTGTATAAAGGCTTGAATGAGATGTATAATATGTAAAGGCTTGAATGATAATTAATCACTCATTCATAGCTCTAGTGTTTATAGATAAAATAAGAGCCCATGCTCATATTACAAGAAAGGAAACTAAATCAAATCTAAATCAAATCTCTCCTAATATGGTAAGTCATTCCATAAATCATGGCTATCATATATGCTAAAATATGCATAATCAAATCTCTACTAATATGGTAAGTCATTCCATAAATCGTGGCTATCATACATGCTAACAGTTATGAACAGCAAAGAGACAAGCGGAATGGTACGCGTCATAACAATTTTCAGGCATGTGATAGCCTAAAGTTATAAAGCAGCAAATACACAAGCATATACAGCTAGAATTTTTCATAAACAGACTATGAGAACAGCGGCTTAAAACAAATAAAAGGAAGACATTTTGTAAATCCAAAGAAATGAAAGAAGAAGAAGAACATATAATAAATACAGCATTTTTTAATCCAACATGAGTATAAAAAAAAAAAGCACACGGAAAAAAAAAATTAGAAAGGTTATGGAAGGCAACTAAAAGTACTGCATAAGTCATGATTATTCCCCAAATTGAGTAGAGCAAATTGATCAAAACTTGCACATTTCCATTCACAATTCCAATAAAAAATCTAATTACACATATTGCTATCCAATTTAATTGCAATTTTGGCTTGTAATTTTCTTTATTCTTTCCAAAGTCCAACAGGAGCTAAATTTAAAACAAAATTCAAATTTATTTAACCCAACTATTTGGGTCAAATAAATAAATCTCTATTTCCTCTATTTAATTATAAATGAAATTCAGTCATATCTTTCTATCTCATATTAATTTTGACTTCACCTTCCCAAGTTTTCCCTAGCATTACCCTTAATTTGAGCAACTCATAATGAAATCCAATATTTCAAACTAATTTCAAGCATCATCAAATCCAAACTTTGAACAACTCATATTAAGCATCATGAAATCCAGTCCAAATACACTCTAGGTTTCTTCGCACTTCATTGTCGTATTTTCATTTTTTTCATCCATCAATCTAATTAAAATTGAAGATTATAATCACGACTGTAGATACAGATGCAAATGGTAAGGTAATGAGTGAAGATAATGAGAACATATCAGATCAAGTAATGCAGATAATACTTCCAAATTTCACTCTTCCAAGACAGATGAACTTTTATCTTCAAAATTACTCAACAAGACAAACAACTAATGCTATTATAAAGCACCATAAAAATAAAAAATAAAAATAAAAAGTACTAATACTATTATAAAACAGTTCAAAGGAATGAACAATCAATCTTACCAGTGCATCCGCCTCCATTCCAGCCACTCCTGTAAGAGAACCACAAAGAGTCCCGCCATCACCTTGTAAACAATGGAAGACTTTCCCGCTCTCACGCCAAGCAATCTCTGCGGAGTCAAGATTACCCTCCATGAACAATACAGCTAAAATATATCTCCGGGCTAATTCGGGCCAAGTAAATTCATTCATTGGGAGCATATCAAGCTTTGTTTTCCTTGCAATAACCGAGTTATCTGCATCTTTTTTCCGACCTCGTCTTGACTTAGATTCTCCAGCACCAACATCATATGTCGCAACTTTTGAAAGCAATTCACCTACTAGCACCCTCAGAAGTGCACTATGAGCTTTTGCCAGTGCTGCACCTGTACATCTACCATAAGTATGAGAAGCCAGTCTGGCTTGGGCATCTTCCTTCATAGATGCTGTTTCCATTGCAATAAATGCACATGGATTTTCACTAGGAACTGTTGAAGCAGAAGAGTTCCTTGAAAACAAGACATGATCATTTACACTATTGCTTTTACACAAGCTGACATCTCCACCATCTTGGACTCCTGGGTGTAGGCTGTCTAACCATGGATCTATAAGTTCAAATTCAAGTTCTTGGAATGAAAAAGGTTCCTCCAGTCCTAAAACCTCCGAGAAACGACATAAGAACTCCCAAGCCTAAACAGACAAGGCAGAAATGATGAGAATATAGAACCTAGTGAAAAGAATTTTGCTAGCATTACTTAAGTAATTCATGATACCTGGATAACATCGCCGATCAAAAAAGCAGGAAGCTTTGAGCTCAGCGGCTTGCCTAAAGGACAGGAATCCTTCGTACCAGAGTCTTCGACCGCCTGCTTCCTGGGTTTTTTGCAACTTCTGAAGAAACCACCAGCTTCTTTCTCACATTGAACATCATTCGTCCTATTAGCCAGAAGAAATCCGCTTCTAACTGTTTGCAAACTTGAATTGTGACTTCTTTTATTCAGAAAGTTATATTCTGAACAGGAACTAACCCCAGGAAGCTGTTCTATTATTTCTTGTACAAATTCTACATCCAATCCAAATCTATCCTGTTGCAACCATTTCATCAGCATTCCACAAGAAGTTTCAAATTCATCATCACTCTGAATTAATTGTGGGATGTTAAAAGGGCCAGATAAATAACAAAACTTGGACAATGGATCCGAAGCATCCGTTGCTTTTAAACTCATTTCATCCATGACATGCTTACAGTAAAACTTAAGTACACCTGTTTGCTTATATACATCACGGTATGCGTGCATTAAAGTTTGGGACACCTTTTCCCACACCAATAATGATGACCTCCCTTCCACAACAAATTCACCAATAATATCCCCCAGCTGAAAACTATCAGGTACGGCATTTCCATATCTTTGGGGAGGGCAACTGGAATCTCTTGTCAAACTATTTGCTCTATGGAAGTCAGAAACTTCATTTCCACTATTCCCAGAGCAAATATCATAATTCAGATGTGGTGGGCTATATTCTGTTAGCATGATCTGGATATTCACAGTGTCGTCATCATCCATTCCAAAGACAGCAGGATCAACTTTTCCCATTTCAACTTTCCCATCATTTGAGCCAAATTTTGGCTTGGAGAGGACTGTTGCACCACTAGGAATGGGCTGTGAGGAGCATGGACATCTTCGGACTTTGAAGGTAGGACCAGAATCACCGCCATCTGAAACATCACATATAAAAAGGGACCCAGTAATCTTATCATGCCAGCAAGATCTGTAACCTACAGGCCAGATTTGGCTAGTGTTATGGTATGAGGGTCGCGGATCAACCTTGCCCGCAGAAAGAACAAAGAAGTCCTCAAACTGCACGGGAAAGCCATCCTGGAAGACAGTAAAATAAACTTGATTAGTTCATATTCTTGACTTCTATAATACTAAACACATATATAAGTGGGTGTATGTGTGTGAGGAGTTGGGAGTTGGGGAGGAGGACAAGATATAAGAGGAGAAAGGAGTGAACCCAAGACAGACAGTAAATTATGCGTACCCTTACTTGAAACTGCTGAAATCCACAGCCGCCATGCTCCTCTGAGTCAGCTCCAATAATGCTTCTGCTACCTTTAAATTTGTCAACCTGACTATCCGTGACCTTGATGCCTGCTGAGGACTTCACAATGGAACTGCTCCGTAGAGCACCCATACTTTCTATAAATTTACTGGTTCTTGAAGACCTTGAGGATTCCTTTCTTCTTTGCTTTAAATGAGATCCTTTATGGTCTGAAGCAAATCCATCACTTCTGTCCTCAGTTTCTAAGGAAAGGCAGTCTGACAGCAAGCCTAGATGACCAGCAACAGCAGGCATTGACTCAAACCTCCTTCCATCTGGGGCACAGTATACTGCAAAGGTTTTGCATCTGCTCTGACAATAAATAAATTCCACATGCCAGCCATCTCCCAAAAGACCTCGTTTTTCACATATATATTCCCTAAGAGCTTGCAAATATACCTCAGAGGGATTCTGGGTAACATATTTCAACGGTGTACAATGACCAGCCCAAAGCTTCTCTTTGAGAATGGAACTCAGATCTGCTTCCTTTGAAGTTCTATCGAAGTTCAGTCTGTGCTGTACTATATCTTCAAAACCTGATTTAGCAACTGCACGGCGAGATGCCTTCTGAAAATTAAATCCATTCTCCAGATATAATAAATTTGAACATGTCACGGGGGAATCAAATGAGTGGCCAACAGTAGACGTCTCATGCACTGCAAGTACCCTACAAACCACAAGTATATAGACATTGTCTGTTGTAAGACTTCCGATCCATGCAACACAAACACTATATGATAACAGATAACAAATGCATCTGCCAAAGAAAATTTGAAGCAATCCATAGAAGCCACAGAATCATGTAGAAAAAATATACTATCACAATTCTATATTATATGCAGCGGACACAACCAAGCATACCTTTCTTTCTAAACAATAATCAAAAACTAGAGGAGAAGATCATTTCATGGTTCTTAATGGCTGAGAAAAAGGCATGTCAAATATCAAGAGAGTTGACTTGGTACTCTGTGAGTAAAGGTGATCTCTGACAGCACTGGAAAGTACATTACTGTCAATGATAGACATAAGAGTGGACTACAGAGTTCTTGCCTTTGGAAGTGTGTGGCAACCAGTCTACCTGAATTTCTCTGATGGCATCCATCCCACCAGATAGACATAAGAGTGGACAACAGAGTTCGAGCCACAGACACTGATAAAAGCGTTAGTACACCATTTTCTTCTTCTTTTTCCCCTTTTTAGAAGATAAAAACAAACATTATTAATGTAAGAGTAAGGTTCGAGAGAAGGATGACTGGATGAGAAATCCTTCAAGCTCGAAATGGAAAAAGTACCTAGTTAACCCCTAAAAACCAAATAGCAAGAACCCTTCCCTTAACCACAAAGGAATTCAACGAGAGTCATAAAGGTGGCCTCTGATTGGCCCAATAGAGTTGGCTCCTCACCAAAAAGTCCAACCATACCTAATGAACATATCTAAAAACCTAGAAATAGAAATCCCACAAACATACAACAATCTCAGCATCACACTAAAGAAAACAATCACAAATAAGAGAGTAAGGTCTCGCTGACGCTTTACAGTATAACTATAGCTAAATTCATCACCTTAATAGACCTCCATACCAGTCTGTCGAAGGTTTCTAGGAGAACCAAAAAAAAATCAACTTAAGCCAGAAATTTGAGAAAGCTGAAATAACACCTTATTGTTCCTCCCAATTGCATCTCCCCATTTAGAATGGGCAAATTTTTGTTTTAATTTTTGCACTCAATCTAACAATAAGCTGAGTAATTCCTAACCAATATGCACATCCTTCCTTTTAACCGTTAATCAGAAATTGTATCTATTAACCAATAACTACCACCAAAACAAATTCCAAGTTGGCGTTCCAGTCACTGATGATAAAACAATCAATAGTTTTCCTGTTGTGCTTCTTGTAAATATGATGTATGATTGACAAATCTTATACGGTGTTAAAAGGAAGAGAAAAAATAAAACAATTTTACAAATGTTTTAGGGTTCAAAGACACACTAAGTTTTTTTTTTTTTTTTAAGACGGATAAAAAATAAAAACAGCACTGAAATAATCCTGGCAAGAAAAACGTGAAGGACAAGTAAATTCACCCTTAATCGTCATGCCTCACCGCCATCTCTTCCATCTGTTGCTAGTAAAAATTTTGAGCCCCTTTATTCACTCTTCATCTTCATGTGAATTATAGACAACAGAAGTTGGCTCATCAAGGACACATCAGAGTAAAGTCTCCACATATACTCACTACGTGTCCCCAGAGACCAAAAACACTAGCAGAAAAGAACCTAAAATTTTAGGCAGTCGCTATCTTTTTCCCCCCTTCATAATAGGGAAAGAAAAAAAAAACATTTACTCTAGCAGGCTGATGAGGTTGTGAGCCTAATAGGGTCAACTTTGGGAATGTGACACGTAATGCCCACTCATGTCGAGCCAAAAAGGGCATGGATAGATATCTCTTCACATAAAGAGTTCTTGTGTGGAGAGACTTGATATTCTTCTTTATAAGCAATGTTGTCATTAAAAGACACCAAAAGGAGACAACCAAATACATGTGGAGTCTAAAAGAGTGGACTGTTAAGAAACATCACAAGAATCCAAAAGAAGAAAACAAGTTTTCTCAGCCTCTAGTTAAACCATCTTAAGTAAATTGAGATACTAACAGCAATTTTCTGGATTGCTAAAATATACAATTCTAAAAAGAATAAAAGATTTGGCTTAGGAAGCAGCATCTCCCCAAATTACACAACCTTGATCCACTCCTTGGAGATGCATAATATAGTCTATACGTCGTAACCACAAAAGATAAATAATCAATTCTATCTCTATAAAAGGAAGCTCTTAAAGTGTTGGTTGTTACAGGAAGCAACGTTAATGTGCAGTTGTAAAAGAGAATATTATCAAGTGGATACTCAACAATTACCAGTATTGATCATGTAATTAGTGTTCTGTGACAAGGGGGTTTTGACCCCATTAAGAGGCAATGTCGGAGACGACCGATCAGATGTGTTCACGATGTAATGTTGCTTCTTCATGCTAAGCAATTCACGGGCTCAATGGGTCCACCATGCTACATCATAATTTAATTCAAAAAAAGCAAAAAAAAAAAAAATTAAGTATAATTTTATTCAAAATTTGATTTAAAATATTTACGTTGAGTATAGGAATGACAATGAGGGCGTATGGTACGGAGTGCCGATATCCCAAACCCGCCCTATGAAGGAAAATCAACTATAAAGCCCGTGCCACCTCGGAGTCATGAACGAATTTGAGGTATCCCGCAATCCATAATGTCAACAACTTCTTAGTTAAAAGTATCATTTCACAATCAAAAGTTGTGTCTTTGTCAGTGTTGTATCACTTAATTAGAAAGCTCACATCAATGTTAAAGCATTGATTATAGACTTAAAGACTAGGCCAAAGGATGACATTGATGGCTTGCTTCAAGTGCTATCAACCTTTTTAGAAAGGAAAGTGAACTAAAGAGGGTAGGATCTGGAGTGATTAATTATAACTAAGTTAACTAAAAAGGTTATTAATTGACCTCTAGAATTTGGTTTAAATTGGTCTATTATCAATTAGGAAACTTAAACTAATTTGGATTTAATTTAAGTAATTAAAAATTAATTTCAATATCATTAAGAAATTTAAAACTGAAAATTATTTAATTGGGAACGGATTTGCAAACCTTTTTTTTTGGTTGTTGTTGAAAAGCTTGGGTTTTGAGTTTGAGTTAAAAACCAAATGCCCCAACAAAAAACAACACACACAAATAATGAAGCATCTAACGGAAAGCTATGTACAGTTAGGTTCAATAGAAAATGATACATCAAACCATCAATCAAACATTGCTAGAGTGACTTCAATCAATTGAAAATCTGGTCAATAAATTGAACAGACGCCTAGAGGTTTTTAAACTTTCCAAAACTCATCAACAACGTCACTCCAACACTATAAAAAGGGGTTCTAGGGTTCTCAAAATATAAGAAAAACTTAAAAGACACGACTAAACATTTTGAGAGAAATTAAGAGCTTTCAATCACAAGTGAAGTGCTTCATAGAATATCCAATTATATTGTGGGTTAAAATTCAAAAGCAAGGAGATTCATTGGATACTTGAAGATTAATCAATCAAAAAATCTACACATTAAACAAACTTAAAGGTTGGACCACTATAAGAGGAGATCAAATCACGTTGAAAAGCGGATAGCGTCAAGAATAGGTTCATTAACTGGCAGCTGGAGAGTTCAATGAGAACACCTAGCGGGAGCCTAGGTTAGAGGTGACTAAGAGAGTTCAGAGTATGGTAACTCAGTGTTGTATAGCTTTCTTTTGATAGTGGATTTGATCTACCTGGACAATGTCCCGTGATTTTCTCCACTAGGGCTCTCCACGTAAAAATTTTGGTGTCCTTGTGTGGTTGCATTATTTTGTTTATTATTGCTTTTTATTAATCTTTCTATGTTTGAATGATCAATCAACTTTCATTAATGAACACGTAAGGGGAAGGAATTCAAGTTTCATCTGGTTCGTTGGGAGCAGGTGTATTATCCGACTAGGAAGGGAGGGTTGGGTATTCAGAGACTGGTTCATTTCAACGAGGCCCTATTGGGGAAGTGGTTATGAAGATTTAGGGTGGAGAGGCAGACTCTGGTGAAGGGTGATTGCTACCAAGTTTGGGGAAGTTAGAGGCAGATGGTGTTCTTTGGAGGTGAGATTTCCATGTGGCGTTGGGGTGTGGAAGTAGACCTGTAAACGGGTCGGATTCAGACCGGACTAGTGCTAATCCGATCTGAATCCAATAAGACTATGCTAAGTCTGATCCGATCCGATAATCTAACAGATATTTTGTGACTAAATCCATATCCGATTTGTTAATAAACGGATATCCGATCCGATAAGGGGTGTGTGTACAATTTTTTTTTTTTTATAAAAAAATTATGTCAAAAGAGAATAAAAAAAGATAAATTAAATCTGAAAAAGAAAATTAAATCTTTTATTCTTTGTTAAAGAATAAAAATTTAGGAATAAAAAAAATAAATACATATTATAAAATTAGATTATATATGCTTAATATATTATATAATATATTGTTTCGAATCGAATTATTATCGGATCGGATCAACTATAATCCATATTCGATTTGTTTAGCTAATGGGATTGGGAGATTGAGAATATCTTTGGCCTGTTGGAGATGATGTACCGCCAAGAGATTGTGGCTGGAGCTTTTGACTTATGGGTGTGGATTCCCTCTTCCCAGGGACGTTTTGATGTTCAATCCTTCTTTAGATGTCTTAAGGTTGTTCCTGGAGATTCTTTCCCATGGAAGACTATTTGGCGTTCAAAGGCCCCCCTTTATGTGCAAGAGAGATGAAGAAACATTTAATCACCTTCTTCTGCATTGTCCAGTGACCTGGGATTGTTTGGTCATGTTACTGGGTTTGTTTGGAGTTCAGTGGGCGATGCCCAGGTCCTCCAGAGACGTGGTGGAGGCTTGGAGAGGGTGTAGAGTGGGGGGCCAAGCCCGTGATTGTTGGAAGGTTATGCCTTTATCCGTTTGGTGGTGCTTATGGCTCAAAAGAAATATGAGATCTTTTGAAGGAAAGGAGAATCCTATTGGTGTGTTAAAGTTTTCCATTTTTAGCACTCTTTTTTGTTGGGTTCTAGGGAGAAATTGTAAATC